TTGGTGTTCGTTGCATTTGTTTTGGCGCCGGAAGAGGCGTTCGCACGGGGGACACTGGTAGCGTTTACAATAGATGTTAATATTATTAATGAGGGATAGGTGACTTTCGAACTGATTTAAGTACATGTGTTCCTGATACAACCCTCTAGATTTATACACGGGTTGAGCTATCCCCGTCACGTCTAGAGTGAACACGCTCACATTCACACGGAAACAGGCTTCAAAGTGACACAGGAGAGAAGGGGGGAGACCCGCGTACTCTTCGGGACGAACTTGATACAAAGATTGGAGATGATGGTCCCGAGAGTAGGCACCCACTGATAGTAAAGAGCTTTGGTGGGCTTTTCTAGTGACTGTCGAGCGGATGGATCTCGATACAGAGCCAGACACCGGAAAGCACATAAATGGTCCTCGTATCGTCGACCAGACTTAGCATTATAATGTAAACAGATAATAGCTTTATGGTGTTTAATGTAATCGGGGAGAGCAGCAGGGGGGTGGCCTAAAGGAAATTTCATTCTGTACGCATAAAACTGTACATTCGTAATCAAAACGGGTTTCCATTTGGTATCGGGGCGTTGTTTCAATAGATAAGACATCACATCTAAGCTTTCCAGTCTCTGACGCAACCGTTCGAGATACCTCAGCTCGGTGATATAGAGAGGAGTAGTAAAGAGCGGATCGACAGCGTAAGGGTGGAAATAGCGATAGCGTCCCGTCTCCACGTGACGCAGGATGACATCGAACGCTAGATTCAACCTAAAACTATAATTCAACGACTGATAGATTTCCCTAGCGCGTTCCATCAACTCACCTATCGAAAAGTTGTTGCTGACGGGGAGGTTGTAGGTAGAAAACATCTCCCCGGGTTGGTCCCGTGCGAGGATGTAGGGAGCGTCCAGGTCAAAGGCTTCCTGGAGTCCGGGCTCCGTCACCTCGCCAGTGCTCTCCTCTACCCACGGGGCGGGACCTTCTCCCCATGGGCGTGGTTGGAGCTCACTACCAGCAGCATCGGTATCCATACTCCCGCCGCACTGCGATGGTAGGACACGGTGTCCCTCTATCATCTGATGACGGTAGAGAGACAACCGATCATCGAAACGCCTATGACACGTCCGGCAGGTAGTACAACCATCCGATGCTGCGATGCGGGAACACGAGGGAGCTGGTGATAGAATAAAATTCAATGTATGAATACTGTGCTCGCCTATAACAGCATAGTTCACTCACTCACTCACTACGAGCTCTTATGCTTCAAATGAAACCGCATGACTAACACGTGCTATATAATACTTCCAAAGCGAATACATATGAACACCATGACGGATTGAATTAATACATATAATTCAGGGCTAGCTAAAACCCATAGCTTATAAAATACTATTCAATATCTACCTCCACTAGCACGAGAGTTTCCCACCCTTGCAACCTGCCCCGAAGAGGTGGACGGTGTAGGCTGGTTTGTAGAGGTTGTCCCTGAAATACAAAACAGTTTACTGAAAACATCCCAGTCAATGCTATCTACAAACACACGACACACATATATTGAAACCCTATGCGGTATGAACCTCGTTAAAACTAACCATGGATGAATGAAGTGATAGATAGATACAAAATAGAACTCACCCCCACTAACCGGTACTGCTCTAGAGGTAGACGGCCGTGCGTCATGACGCGACGTCTGTGTTGCGCCTGTGGAGAAAAAAGATATGTTCAATCTATAGCATCTGAGCATATTTTATTCGAGTGAAATGATAAGCTCGAAGTCACGAATGTGTTGTTTTCAATACAATAACCCATGTCTTTCGCACTTTTACTTCAGATGGCATTATGAACATTCAACTTACCGCTAGAATGACACCGTCGAAAATGCACGGCCAAGTCACGGGGAGAGGGGAACACCTCGGGGCATTTCTGTATGTAGAAATAAAGCAGTGTTCTTAAAGGGACTGTACGAGTTTAGTAACGATACTCGTACTAACATAGCATGATGTCCTTGTTTTCAACATAGAATGAAAATTACCTTTTCAAAAGCATAGGAAGATAAATAAAAGTCCCACACATATTCGCTTAAATCTAATGAAATTACCCTTACATTCACGAAAATATAATGAAAATGAAACTTACGCTACATCGGTATTCCGATAGGCGTTGTTGCGACAGGGCACATTTATGTTTGTTTAGTTTTTGTTTGGAAGCAAACGATTTTGTGCAATGGTCGCACGCGTAACGTTCACCCTGGTGAACAGATCGCATATGACGGGAAAGGTTTAGTTATCTTTTCTATTAAAACCTTTCCCGCACTGTGGACAGGTGAATGGTCTGAAAGACAAAACATTTCCTTTCAATTCTCGCTAGAGATACAACATTGTTTTCTTCATAAAGTTGGTAATGAGAGTTACTCATAATCACTTTTACTAACACATACCTTTTCACTCAGCCTAAAACATGTGTAAGCTGTATAGTATTCTCATTTAATATAAACGAAATAAGTCATTAAGAAATACACTTACGCGTTTGATGAATCCATGTTTTCCTTGCTGACTGTTGAAACTGAAATGACGCTCTGATATTCGGGGTGGTGTTTATATAGGATGTTTCTATGATGAATGATTGCCATATAGTAACTGGCCATTCAACGCACCTGTATAGCTCACTGTAAGCATGACTGACAGCTTGGGATACGGACCACCCATATACCCATATAGATGCACCTGTGTATCTGTCTGTACGTTCACACGGGAAAAGATGTTGAACATTGAGCAATTCAGATATTATTATTATGTACACACCTGCGCGTTGGCTATCTCGGTGCCTGACCTCAATTTTAGTAGTATAGTCTAGGCTAGTATAGACATAGTATAGTCATCCTATCCGATTAAGGGTGACTATTGTAAACATGAAATGTCTTATAGATGGCTTCCATCACTTTCCCAACAAACCTAGCTTCGTGCCGTCACACTGCTACATGTACTCATCAGTTTTCTATTGAACATAGGCATGGTTCTAACTATCTATTGTCAAAATAGCACGTTCTGAAGTAAAACTGTGCACATCATGTTACACGGTTAAAACTCAAACCGTACGGTTTATTTGTCATCGCGTTAAATGGAAACGCTAGCATTGAAACATCAACTATGCAAGTCGGGACAGGGCTGAATAAGTGAACGCCCTCTATACAAATGGTTCACAATAGTACGCAGCGCGGGGTGATTCGAAATCCGGCTGCCTTCAGCGTTATAGTCAATGCAGGGTGACGTGACTACCTCGTTCTTGCGCGCTAAATGTAAACGACACTGCTAGCTTGCTGATTGTGAAGTCTTATCTATTTTGTCTATATTTTTTTCTATACAGGTTGTCTAACGTTCATGGTGTACAACGTGTAGACCGTACAAGATGAATTTGATCCAGCTAGACGTACATTTTTTTCCCTACATTACCCGGCGTATATCGTGTTGACACAACCCGTCTCTATTGTGGTATGATGTACTTTCAACACACACCCTGTATTCATCAAACCAGGTCGCACGCTCTAGCGAGCGCGGGTTAAACGACGAGGCCACGTGAGTTGTCAAGCGCGCTCAATTCAAACTGGGCTGACGGGTACGGTCTGTCTATTCAGGACAGCACGCTATACATTTAGCTCTATTCATAACCCTTTACTTTTGTTTTCTTATGAATTCTTTTCTGCCTTATAAACACACACCTTTCATTCCCCACCCTTTCCCGACGCGCTGTTGATGCATGAGTCATCCTATCCGATCACGTGACTTGGATCAACCAATCACCTTCCCTATTTTCCCTCAACCTCCCTCAACCAAAAGGGGTTCCTGGCGACCCGTTCTATACTACTATCTTTCTAATGATTTTATTTGTTTGTTTTTTGTTTTATTGCTTTCGTTAATTATTGTATTTGTGCCAAAATCAATCAATTTGTGTGGATTCGTAAGCTAATTATTTTTTTAATATGAAGACACTTAGACAAAAACTAAATACAAATGTTGTATCTGCGGTAATGTACGTTAATCGTTTTGTTTTGAATGCACTAGAACATACATATGGCGTGGGATATTGTTCATAATGTCATCCACTGGTTCATAAGTCTGTTAAGAATCGATTAGTTTCAAGCCGCCGTGATATAGCTGGAATGTCGCTGACTGGGTCGTAAAAGACAAGACAAACAAACAAAATGTTCATATTTGTGATCCAAAAACAAACGCAAAAGATGCGAAGTAAAAATATGTGAAATTAAGGTGCCCTTTAACAATACAAGGTTCCGTTGAGTAATGTTAACGAGTCTTTCATTGGTAAATATTTGTCATATGGCGAGACACTTGTTTAACTGGAATGCGAGCATTCACGTGAGTACACACAAGTGAAAGTAGAAATGTTTCCTTACGCTCGCAAGCTTGGATATTTCACTGAGATCTGACCACAACTGTCCATGTTGCCCTTGTCAAATACCTCAGACTAAATTAAACTTATTCCCTCTACGCGTCTGTTTTTTTTTCAGTTTGATATGAACTATCTCTTCCTTCTGAACAACCTAGACTGAATTACACATACAAACAATCCGTCGGAAAGAGTCTCGACACCAACTGTGATCCCTTTTATGTGTTACATTAGACTGAGGTAATATTATCAATTGTTAGAAAAATATATAAAAAAATTGTAAAGAAAATGTAAAGAAAAGCAAACTGTCAATGTGTTATAGCTGCTAATACTGCAGTAGGAAACTTATGTATGGTATGGACCCCGACTGTTTATACAGACATATTAACATGCGAGATTTGATATTGTATATTACGAAGCGTTGACGATCCATCAAGTTGTTTCATTGTAATTACTAACTGGTGCATATTTTGATGTATTTCATATGTACACACGCATGGCTATAAATAGTTTGGGTAAACCCATCATATTTCCGGGTACAGAGGTGGTTCTATTGTCGAATCTAAGTGAACAGGGAAATAGAATTATGAATCATCCTGACGGCTGTGTTGCAGTGTGATGTATACACCATGGGGGAAGGCTGTTTCTAAACCAACATAATCACAGTGACGACTTAATTCACAAGAGAGGCAGAGAGGCTACATGTGATTTCAACAGGAGAAGAAACATGGAGGTAATATATAGTTAAGTTTATAACATCATCTAATGGATATTAATTATCTGAATGCAAAAAATAACAATTGGAATGGACAATTTTCAATCAAACCGTAGCATGTCAGTAAGACTAACATATAATCCCTGAAATAAATATACGCGACAAAAATATTATAATAAAAAGGAGAAAGAAGTTCATTGCACGCGTTTATGAATCATTGTCAAATATAGTGATGATACCAGGTGTTTGCGAAAGGGTAAGTGTATCGTTATTTCCTGTACTGTTTCTCTGTTCCAGACACGAATGTTTGCATATTGCTGGATCGTGATCATTGCAACATTCAGAGCAGGATCTGGTAAGTCTGCATTTTATCGTATCCGAGTCACTTGTTTATGATCACCACCCACCCTGATGTACACTAATATAGCAACTAATTAGAATCATTGATACCAAAAAGTTAAAACTTAATCAAGGGCCATAATTTGCAATTAACTGCGGCGTTATTGTAAACGAGAGAATGTTCCACAAAATTAAAACCAAGGACACCTCTGGTGATACAGTTGATACAGATAATATGTCTTTGTAACAGTACATGTGTACACCGCACTAGTATCTTCTTATATTTTGCCTTTGGCTAGAATCTTGTGTCGACACATTGGAGGATCACTGCAAGACAGCGGATTGTTCACAACCAGGAATTGATGTCACCTGTGCGAAGACGTGTGCCATTTGCCGAGAAGAAGGTTTGTCATGGGACTATTATTCCTTTATCTGTTCGTTACTTAAGTAAACCTTAACTTTGGTTAACATGCAAAACTAAACCAAATGTTGTTTTACAGAGATCACAATTCGGATAAGATCTTGATTGCTGTTGTTGTTTCGTATTTCTATATATGTTAACTTCTAAACACAATATATTGATCATATTCGTTGATATACAATATCTGCCCAAAACAGAGTTTAATAAGTATTCAATGCAAATGTCAATTACAGTTTCTTCATAATACTTTCCTAATAATACGACATTACTTATGCAGGTTGTGCAAAAGGTTACTACAGGACAGCTGAGAGAACCTGTGAATCCTGTGCCAAACCGCCGGTATCACATCGTACTGACTCATACAACAGTTCCTGTCTAGAAGAGTGTCCCGATGGCAAGTTGGGACTTGACTGTAATAAAACCTGCAGCATTGGGTGTACGTCTACTTGTCGCAGGTGGACTGGTCTATGCCATGGTGGATGTAAACGCTGCTACTGGGGTCTTAAATGTAATCATATACATGCCAGGTGTATCTGTGACCAAACCGCCGGGAAATGTATGTGTAAAGAAGGATATTATGGAGAAACGTGTGACTTAAAGTGCTCACTTAATTGTGGTGGTGTATGCGATACCAAAGATACGTGTTACAGGGGATGCAAGGAAGGTTGGTCTGGCAAGATGTGCGATCACTCCTGTGTAAACTGTTTACTGAGCAAGTGCATGGCTGATGGAACCTGTACACAGACTTGCAAGGCTGGTTTCTATGGTAACTTGTGTCAGGTCGCATGTAATAAACAATGTAACAATATCACATGTAAATGGAACACAGGCGAGTGTGACGAGGGATGTACTGCTGGGTGGTATGGTGGCAGATGTGACATCAGATGTCCGGGAAACTGTGCTTCAGAATTGTGTGACAGAACTGATGGTGCATGTTCACACTGTAAGAATGGTTTCATGGGTTCTAACTGTACCACACCATGTCCACATAATTGTGCTACGAAGACATGCAAACAAAAGGATGGTACGTGTGTCAAGTGTAAAGTTGGCTACAGCGGATCTCACTGTGACACACCTTGTCCAGACAATTGTGCTACGAAGACATGCAAACAAAAGGATGGTACGTGTGTCAAGTGTAAAGTTGGCTACAGCGGATCTCACTGTGACACACCTTGTCCAGACAATTGTGCTACGAAGACATGCAAACAAAAGGATGGTACGTGTGTCAAGTGTAAAGTTGGCTACAGCGGATCTCACTGTGACACACCTTGTCCAGACAATTGTGCTACGAAGACATGCAAACAAAAGGATGGTACGTGTGTCAAGTGTAAAGTTGGCTACAGGGGATCTCACTGTGACACTCCTTGTCCAGACAATTGTGCCACCGATGCCTGTGAACAACATGGAGCTTCCTGCACAGGATGCAAACCTGGCTATAAAGGTCCACACTGCGACACCCGGTGTCCAGATAAATGTTCAAGTTGTCACCAATCTGAAAATACATGTATCTCATGCAATGCTAACTGGTACGGGGGAACATGTGGCAAATCTTGCAACACATGTCTGAATGGTACATGCAACATAACTGATGGAGCCTGCCTACATGGATGTAAACCGGGTAGCTATGGACACCGCTGTAATAGAACCTGTAATGCAAACTGCTTAAAGACAGAATGTTTCCGTGACTCGGGAAACTGTACACACGGCTGTAAGGACGGCTTGTGGGGGCCTCAGTGTAACAGCAGATGTCCGTCACACTGTGCCAGGTGTGATAGAGTTGATGCTGCATGTCTGGAATGTGAGGAGAACTACTATGGAGAGAACTGTAGCAGCAGGTGTTCCCCCAGGTGCGGCAGCTGTGACGGAACAGGACACTGTCTTACCTGTGCTGAAGGCTGGGAGGGAGACAACTGTCATGGTAACGTTCCTTTTGTTAGCTCACCTGACAGAAAGAAACGGCGTTTTGGCCGAGACACCATTTCCCTCCACTGTGTTGCGAAACTAACGTATTTCTTAAGTATGTAAGCTGTGGAAGTAATTCAAAGGTAACCTATCATTTATAGTTTCAACAAAATCATAAACGAGCTCCTGTGTTACTGGATTGCCAGTAAAGATTCAACCGTCGCATAGCAGTAGTATTGTTGTGCGGCGTTAACAACAAACACATATATATTAATGTTGTGTAAGTTGCGGCTGCTACATACTTAACCTTTTAACTAACCCCTAGTGAAATTTTCAGTGATCCATTGTTATAATTTTCCTTAAATGTTGTAACCTTGATCAAACAACTTTTGAGCAAGAGTCGTATGAGGCCCTTTAAAATCTTGCTTGATCAAGGTTACAACATTCAAAGCCTTCTCAGGATAAGCGGATAAGCATCACTAGGTATAGACTCGATCCCCCGTGTGCGTCATACCAAAATATAATACACTTGTTGTTACCTTGCGTGAAGCTCTTCCCGGGATAAAACAAAAACTAGTAGGCATGGTGCCAGTATACTGTGTCTGAGTGGGATATTCATGTTAAAACCGCGGTATAGTATCTCAGTGGGTAGTACTAGCAGCAACACACACACTTTACATGCTCGTTGCAATAATCTTGAAAGCGAAGTAACTTCCTGTTTCACATCACCACCAGCTATTTCTATGAAGGAACAAAACACAATTTTATACGTTATTAGTCTTGACTGTCAGAAAATATGATTATTGATAAGATGATAGAGTTTCTAGAAAAGAATATATCTGTGTATAGTCTGTATAAGCACTCTCACTCACTCACTCACTCACTCACTCACTCACTCACCCACCCATTCAGAGTTGACTTGTGTTCTCCCATGAATTGTGATGCAACTCCATACAATTACAATTCCAAAACTGACGACGTTGAGTAACGCAAGCGTTGCTAAAACGTTCTCTTGGACGCCTGCAGACCCTTGCACGACCATCATAGCTGTCCAGATGAAACATGGACTCCGCTGTGAACAGTATGCTGTCCCAGTCCTGTCGTATGAAGCTTTTGAGGCTGTATACACCAAGTTAGACGTGCCTGACTGTGACGTGAAACCAAAATTTGGCTATCAGTGGGACGTCGGAGCAGGATGTTGTGCTCCCTCAACGGGTTGCGTACAGTTCTGCCACTAATTGGTCTCAATCCAGGAATTGGCGGAGTGGTTAAAGTGGCAGTTTGGTATCGATTCCGTAAATGCGCCAATCGAATATGGTTATCTTTGTGACGTGACGACATACGTGGACCCACCGGCCTGTGGCAAGTTGCCCGCAGTAGATTACGTCTCCAAAGAGAATATATTGTGTTTCGATGTTAAAATGTCTGGCAGCACACCCACGCCGCGTAGACGTTAATTTTCAACAAACATTGGCATTGCGTAAGCATTATTTACGGTAAACAAAAGTTGTTGTTTTTTAGCACCAACAGCTAAACAATCACTGTGTGCTGTTCACATTAAAAATCCACGTGTGAGAGTATCTTGCTCCCAACAAATACGCAAACATCGAAATTGTGCGCCGTGCATGAACATGTACGTGCAAATTAGGAATCACGACCTTAAAGTCGAGGAGATGTCTTCTATGTATTAAGAGAAGCATTATCTAATATCAGAATAAATATATTTTCATTAAACGTTATACGAAACACAGTTATTTTGATCGATTACAATACACACAAGGGGGACATCATGATTGTACAAGTCAATAAATGACGTTAGAATTATGACATATGAAATAAATTATTATTTACCGGCGGAATAAATCTTAAAAAGCATAGAATAACTCACTAAACGTAGACCTTCGACATAATAGGCAAAGACAAACAGTTAGACATTTTGACAACATTTCCCAGTGAAAAATCATAGTTTCAAATACATCTTAATATATGAACATGAATAGAACTTTTGTAAGTTCCGTGCCATTGATCGATCTCTTTTGTATCATATTTCAGCGTCGAAGAGTCTGCAGCCATCAACACTAGTATGGACCTCTGTAGTTGCAATTCTGCTGCTTATCATTGCGGTCATGGCCATTAAGATGTAAGTCCGGATCCTTACAGTCACAATATAGGATTAATATCTGAATTAACATCCTCGATTATCCAGTTTCTTTTTTAAGAAATAAACAACGACCACAATATATATGAGATATTCCATGGCTGTTTCTAAAATCTGATTTGACTGCTATTATTAGCAGCGTGTCTCTCGAATGCCCTTCAAAACGAAGCCATGTTGGCGAAAGTGAGTGAGTATGGTTTTACGCCGCTTTTAGCAATATTCCAGCAATATCACGGCGGGGGACACCAGTAATGGGCTTCACACATTGTACCCATGTCGGGAATCGAACCCGGGTCTTCGGCGTGGCGAACAAACGCTTTAACTACAAGACTACCCGACCGCCCCTGCTGGCGAAAGGGTCCAAGGGATTCATCATACATATAATACAGTTGATACTTGAGGATGCTGTTGGGAAAAAGAAACTGAAAGCATGTGAATGATAACAGTTAAGGCATCCAAAGGCAACGGCGATTGGGTTAATGTCAAATATATCCTCAACGAAACAGATGAACTATATTTGTGTTCGTTCATTACACCAATATCGCTGTGTTGCGGTGTGGGTACCCCTCGGACGTCACATACATATACTATTTTGACTTCTCTAAAACGATTTCCTACCGACTGAGTAATTGTTATGTTGTTTATTATGCTGTAATTGTTATGTTTGTCAGTTGAAAATTTTATCCCCTCGTGTGCTCTATCATTAACGTTGCTCTATAAAACGTTTTCTCATTCAAGACACACATATGATTTAATCATGTTTGTTCATTACAAGGAATCTTGTTTTTAAACTATTACTGTTTCCCCTGAAAATGATTAACTGCTTATATTCGCGTTACTGTTTCAGGGCAATAGTTTGTCATATCCGATTTAATGAACATCATCCAATTAATATATCCTGATACGACTGTTGAAGAAATTATTACGCCAATATTTGCATAATAAAGTGTTTATCGCGCCTGTATCTTAGGGTAATTCATCGTCGACATGATTAAGGTTTAACCCTTTTCCAAATGTTTCAAACATTTCAATTTAGACAATATTTGGTGATATGCCAAAATAAGTTTTAAAATTTCGATATTTTTTTCAGCGTTTCTAAAAGGGCAAGAGCGGTGTACCTCTCCCCCCGTTTTGAGGACAATGTTTACTCATCAGTTGATGATGTGTCACTGTATGAGTTGGCTGAACCACGAGACAGTACTGGATCTCAGTATGCAACAATTCCAGATGCTGCAGTATCGTTGGAAGACAGAGGCTACGAGCAGCTGAGACAGGCTTCCCCTTGCACGGGTTACACGTCTCTGTACTGAGAAGAGACAGTCTGATCAATTACATCATGTTCTTCTGGAAAATCTTACCATTTCAGTGCAGTTACATACGCTTATTATGGAAAGAAGCGTAATTGACTGTTTGAAGTCATGATTAATACATTTAATCCTCCATCTGTGTAGCCTAGTAGTAAAAGGTTTCGCCCGTCCCTGCAAATGCCTGGGTTTAATTCCCTACACGGGACAATCTGTGCAAAGCCCGGAGTAAGAAACTGACGAGCTAGACTCAAGTTGTTTATTATATTTCCAATTCTGGTGGATACATGAAAGGATGACACTGTTCTTTGAAATTATGTTTCTAAATTTGTCAGCACCATATCAGTGTTCATGGGTTTCACCAATGTGGTAAACGTCTTAGACCTGCATCACTTCGATCTTTTCACCCATATGAAGCTGACATGATGATATAATTGAAAGACGTATCAAAACAGCGTTAAACCCAGCTCGCTTACTCAGTCATTCATAAACATTTACAATAAATTAATTAAAGGAGCGCTGTTAATGTGTGTATATATATATATATATATATATATATATATATATATATATATATATATATATATATATATATATATATAATCTGTAGTTTATTTACTCACTTATAGTTTTCTGTGTTATTGTTTGAGTGATTCAAGAGAATAAACATTTTTCTTCGTCTTCATTTTACTTTGTCAAACTTCATTTATAATTTCGAATGGTTAAACAAATTAACATCTATACAGGCGAGCATGGCAATTTGTTAAGAGTCTCGTGGCGTGATTTGACCACATGCATGGATTTACAAAACGTGGTGACAAACGATTATTGTTGATATAAATGAAAACACGTTCCAAAAATATTAACAATCAACATTCCTACTTCACTGTTAAACACACACTTGCACATCCTTTCGTGCAGTGTCGAGGAAGATTTGTCATCTCAAACATCTATCATGTTACAAATGTGATTGATTCTACCCTAGCCCGTGGTCACCTTTGCCAGTTGACCTGAAGAAGTAATACACGTGCGTTATAATCGATTACTTCATTAAGTGATGCTGGGTATTTAAATAGTATACCTATATAAAGTTTAGTTAAGTATATTTCCGTATTCATCCATAACTAAATGTACATCGGATAAGAGGTCCATGTTGGAAGAGAATAACATAATATTCAAATTAAGAGACACGATTGTTGCCGGTTTTCAAGTCCATAAAGTCCACCCTGTGTATATGTATTGTGCGTTTTCAACGTGAAATATAGAAGTTTTAGCTAATCTAAATGTGTGGATTCTTCAGGAAAGGATGGGATGACGTCATACTCTCCAGTTGGGACAAGTAACGGATGCTGTTTATGACTTAACGATTAGAAATATTGCCTGAGTGACTATTTCATTCAGATATTCCATAAAAGTTTAACTATGATTCATACATGTGCTGTGCCCTGTATTCGAACCGTTTGGTTTGGTTGAAGTCAGCTCAGTAAATCTACCTATGTTGAGGGATGTCCCCTCGGTTACCAAAAGGCAAATACACTACTGCCCAAAAGTTCATTCCCCTAACGCGCGTTGAGAACGCGTATAACATGTGTACATCTTCACCATGATACACGATATGATAGTAATGTCGACACTAACTGTTGGAGTCATGACATTCAGCTGCCTTGTTGTCTCAGTGCAAAATGTCATAGGCATTTTCTTGTTATATAACCTACTTTTATATTAAGCCAAAATAAGAAGAAACTAGAATAACGAAATCATATATTTTAAAACAAATTGATCTCTTTTGTTTTTGGGAGAAGAATGTGAGAACAATATTGCTTGAGAGTTTCTATGTAATTACTAATCATGGAGTTACTTCCCTTGATTTCACATATCGATTCTGTTTAAGGTGCCCAGCGAGAAGAAAAGAAACTGACCTTATTCATTCAACATTTGTTAATCCGTTGATTAAGATATACATATAAATTGTCAATGCAAAAGAATAACCATCATAGATAATCTGCCGCAGAATCCCGTTAAAACTCAATTGCATTTTCATTATTTGACCGAGTTTTTATTAATGTTTCTGTATTTAATATCTTTTTAACCAACTATGTTTATGTGTGACATTGCGCTTCTGAAACATATTATTTCATTGTTATCTGAATCACGTACATAGGTAGTGTTCTTTTCAGGTGGGGTATACATACCACCTGTACAAAACGATCTGGCCATGTAAACAAGATGCTATAACGTCTCTCTGGAAGAGCTTGGTGGGTCACGTGATTGTGGTTACCGACATTATGAAAGGATTCAAGACGAAGCTGACCCAACGGCTGGTGCAGATGAAGGTGACGGGTGGTATGATAAGTTGATGTTACAGACCAGAGACGCTGTGAGACGGGGCCAGCCGGGGAAGCCGTATGGTATACACAGCTAATATCTACATCTATATCTTATACCTGAAGTTTATATTCGGATTTGATTAAAACATGTTTCAGCACTGCTGTATGTAAACTTTGAATTTGTAAAATTCTAAAACATATTTGATGGCATTGAATAAGAATATGTTTTTCTTTCTTCTTAATGTGTTGTGTCAAATGTGAAAGACAGCATTGTATGCTTCATTACGTGGTATGTATACAGTTATCTCCCTTACATTGTATTTCCATTCAGCATGGCTGTGTCTGTGGTGTTGACTTCCTTTTCACCGTGATCTATTTTTACACGTGATATCAAATGGAAATACTTTAGAAAAAACCTTCATACCAGCTGTCCTCAATTCTAAAGGTTGCCTAATCTGTAAACAAAACGATATTTTGTACCAAATGACAGTGGTTTGAACAGGGGGTTGAATAGATCCTAGTTTTTACCGAGAACTGTTCAGACCCCCTTTGTTGTCAGCACGCCATAACTGATCCATCACTATATGTCACTTTCTGTTATTTGTTAGTTGTTACTCACATGTAAAATTTAAATGCATTCTCATTCAAAACTCTTCAAATCACGGCGCACAATTTGGATGTTTGGGTGTTTGTTGTGAGCATGATACTCATACACGTGATTTTTTAATGTGATTGTTTAGCTATCAGGTGCTCATATAAACACCTTTGTTAAACCGTAAATAATGCTAACGCAATGCCCCGGCTAACTGAAAACCAAAGACTATGCGCCGTGGGTATGCTGCAAACAGGAGTTGTGCAAAATGAAGTTGCCAGATATTTTAATGTTCGTCGAAACACAATATGATCTCTTTGGAGACGTTACCTACAGCAGGGCAAGACTTATGACTTGCCACAGATCGGTCGTCACCAAGACAACCATATTCGGTTGGTGCATCTATGTAATCGATACCAAACTGCCACATAAACAGCTCGGACAATTCATGGGTTGGGCCAGTCAGTGGCAGAACCGTGCGCAACCGGCTGAGGGAGGACAACATTCGGCCCCGACGTCCATCGACACGCCCAATTTTGATTCCAGGTCATCGTCAGGAACGCATAGTTTGGTGTAGACAGCTTCTGAGGTCACGACAAGCCTGGGACAGTACACTGTTCTCAGATGAGTCCAGGTTTCATCTGGACAGCTCCGATGGACGTGCAGGAGTCTACTGACGTCCATGAGAAGCTTTCAGCGACGCTTGTGTTACTCAACGTCTTCAGTTTGGGAGTGGGAGTGGAAGTGTAATGGTATGGGGTGGCATCACAACTCATGGGGAACTCATCATTGATAATGGCATTTTGAATTGAGTACGCTACTGGGACATTGTTCGAAATTATGTTCTACCCGTTGTGCAAATGCAGGGACGTAACGTCACGTTGTAGCAGGAAATTGACATGTTGCAGGTGTTGTCATACTTTTTGAGGTTGCATAATATTGCTGTACTGCCGTGTCGAACTGCTTCTCCCGACCTCTCCCAGCATAGTACATTGTCTGGGATGAGATGGTGGGACGCCTATGACAGGACCAGAACCAGTCGATAATGATTGGTCAGTTGGGACAATATTTTGCTGTAATTTGAGGTCTTCAATGCACCGTCGCTACCTCGTCTGCATCAATGCAAATGATGGGCACACCAACCATTGACATTGTTGATTGAATTATTACACCGTCTTTTGGGGCGTGTCCCTCTGTCTCCGGTTACCAGGTATGGGTTTTGTCAAGGAATTTGTTATGATTAAAAATTGATCAGACGAATGACCTTTATATAATGTTGTTGTTTTCAATAACATAAGATTTACACCACTTTATTAGAGAAGTTTACTTTTTCTCCATGTACACACGACGATGTAGCCATTTAAACAGGAAGTCAATAAACCAATTAACTATCGCTTTCTATAGCATCCAGTTTTTAATCCGGTTTAATTGGCTTCATCATCGTGTTCTCTGTCCAACATGTTTTTACTACGTTTTCCTTCTGTACTTTTAATGTACTAAATAGATTCTTGTATGTGGCTCGGCATTTTGGGGCAAAAATCAAGGACTGGTCGGCTCGGAGTCAGAATGCTGTGTCTGAGTAGGGTATTCATGTTAAACTGCGGCATGGTATCTCAGTGGGCTAGCCCTATAGATCGAACCCCGAACCTTCCGCTCTCTGAACCCCTTATGATCTGCCACTTGCCGTAAAAGGCGACTATGCTTGTCGTAAGAGGCGACTAACGGGATCGAGTGGTCAGGCTCGCTGACTTGGTTGATGCATGTAATCGTATCCCATTTGCGTGGATCGATGCTCATGATGTCAATCACAGGATTGTCTGGTCCAGACTCGATTATTTACAGACCGCCGTCATATAGCTGGAATATTGCTGAGTGCCGCGTTAAACAACAAACAAACCAAAACTGATCAGCCACAGTCAGTTTTAGCATATTTGTCAATCAGTTTGCATATTGAAGGCAGCGCATTTAAAATCTGCATTGTATATATAGAGAATCTCACCCAAGTGTATTTTGATGTCAGATGCATCAACAGAAGTCATCAAAAGATTAAAACTCTGAGTGTAGATATATTTAATATAAAAAAACATGGGTGAGATTCTATTAATTTATAATCCAACATCATTCGATCAAGTTTGTAAACAGCTAAAAACAGTAAGAAGTGTCCTGTAACACATACAGCTAATCAGCTTCAGCAGCAGAGAATACTGATGTCATTTGATTGTGACGTCATGACAACCAATGATGTCAAAAGTCTGCAAAGCATTATGATGCATTTTCATTGCAGCGATGTCTCCCAGGAGATAACATGTGATTTCAACCATGTTTTCTGTGGATGTCTGTGGGTCTGCTTTCACTGTGTGCAAACCTAGCCTGAATAACAAGTGCATGTGATCAAGTAGCGGCCCTGATAGTGACTCATCAAAATCTGTTTCACTTATCGATCTACTTCTTGTGTGAGTGAAAGACAAGATAATTGAATACTTCCCAAACAAGCAAAAAGACGAAAACTCATACATGTTATATTAATATTTATTGAATATCAAAAACTTGAGTTGCTTATATTTTTAAGCCTAATAAAACATTCCAACACGCAAGAGTACCACTTAACAAAACAGAAGTAAAACCAGTAGGGAATATCATTGTATGACATTGTATCACAGCAGCCTGTAAATATTCAAGTCTGGGCCAGGCAAATGAATGATTGAAAAACAAACAAAGCCATGAGGGCACAATGACACACCTGCACCTCATTCTATCCTGGTATCCAGGTGGTGGTGTTAACAAAACAATGTTTGCATATGGCACTGACAGTATACAGACATTAGAACAGCATAACTTGGTTTTGGAGGAACATCGCCAATATAAGGGGTTTGGGGGGCAAGCCCACCTACGAAAAGTTTTAATACAATGATTAAAATATGTGCATTTTACATCATTTTGAGAAGAAAAATACTGGAATTCCGGGAATCCAAGGTAAATTCTCATGTCTGAGTATAGGACCATGGCAAGTATTATCATCCAAAACTGAGTCCTGAAGTTTTTCCACTTTTATCAACTAGTGTTTATATATTTGATATCAAAAGACACTCGGGTGAGATTCTCTATATATAAAACAACTGCTTTATAAATTAGGTACACTTGTATCTAAAATGATTATTCACATATTTAGAGTCAGTACATTTTTATAAACCTTACAGAATCATAATTATATTCTTTTAATTTTCAAAAGTCTATCTCTAAATCAGCATCGTCCACATCTCCTACCGAAAACATAGAAGAAGTTTGCAGGTGAGGTCTGTTTTCTTTTCCTTCAACATGTTCAAGCCCGCATCTGTCCATGCCAGTGTTTGCCCTGTGTTGTTCTGGCGATCCTGAATTGTTGTCACACGTTTTAGAGGAACGTTTTCGTCCGTCCAAATGACTGTGTCCTTGTGACAACTCCCTCTGGACAGACTGACCAATCACTTCATCGATGTAACCATGGTAACAGGTCATATTGGCACCACTCACATTAACATTACTTCTCAATGATGAACTAAAAGGCTCTGTAACATGAGAGCCCTCTTGTGACATGGGCGGTTCAGAAGGAGCACTGTCCACAAACACTGACCACATACTGGACGCTGTCTGACCACCCATCTGCAAACCTGAACTGTCATGTTCAGGATTACATTCTGTCCGTCCGAACCTCATTGTACTTTCTGAGCAATCAGAATCATCACTTTCCTCATTGTCAATAAAGTTTGACCATTTGCTTCTGACAGCTACATCTTGATTTGATGTTTTTTGCTTCTTTACGACAGAAGTCATCACTTTCTTAACTGAATCAGAAGACAACCCACCATTGTTCTTGCTGTGGTTCCGGAGTCTCTGGTCGGGCAGTTGTAAATGACAGTCATCGGTTGACTGGTATTTGTCACACAGATCATCTGCCTTGCTATTTCCACTATCTCTTATGTTCATGTATGAGTCAGGGTTATCCCAGCTGGAGACACTCTGGCTGGTGTAGGAAGAGAATGGATTATCTCCCTTTAAACTGTGCTGACTGAAGGTTCCCTGTGATTTTCTGAAATAATTAGACAAAATGTAAGTGATGGTTGGAACAATGTAAGTATATGTTCACACATTATTATCATCAATAATCACTCAAGAGTTAAAATCCACTTTTGATGAGACCATCTGGGCTAGAAGTCTGTCAATTTCTCCTAGCCTCTTTGAATAATAGGCACATAGTACTGGGCAGTTAGCATACAAGCTCTCGTAAGGTGGGGGGGCATGGGTGGCCCAGTCATCAAAGGTGCCGCAATTCACTGTGCAGAGTTGCGTTCCTTGGGCAAGCCAGAAACCTATGATTGTGGGTTCGATTCCCGGTTCACCCCAATTATGTTTCTAGGTTTATCAGCACCATACCCGTGCTCGTGGGTTTCACCAAAGTAGTAAACGTCTAAGACCTGCATCACTTGGGGCTTTCCTCCCACATTAAGCTGACATGCCGTGATATAACTGGAATACTGTAAATAGCGGCATTAAACACAACTCGCTCACTCACTCTAGTAAGGTGAGCTAAATGTTTTTGATGGATGCTGTTAACTTACTTCCTTTTTTTACTTTGCTTTATTGACTCTTTGAACATCTTTTTGTCTGTGGTCCAGCGATGATCATTGTCCCCATCATCATCACCCCACTCCTCAGTCTGTGGCGTATCATCCATGAACTGACCCCAGCGTGACATCAGCTGCACAGGGAGGATAGAGGAAACAATCTTATCAATGAATTTCCTCCTGCAACTTGAGGTGTTTGCATATACTTGCGAAAAACAGAAACAGCCCTGTCATCACCATATATGCAAATCTAAACGTCTTACACAAAGTACATCCAATGCACAAAAATTACTTCCAGAGCTTGACCTTAATTTGGACAATTTGAATTAAATAATACATCATCATAAATGACCTAACATAGTCACAAATTCTTAGAACTTGAATGAATTTTTAACTTTCATTTGATCGCCTAAACTTTGGGGATGAATGATTCTAGAGTACACACAAAATACAAACCACTAACCTGGCTGTCTTGCCTGTACTGTAGGTCAGAGTGACCTAGGTCAGGGTGACCCAGCTCAGGCCCCGTGTGAGCAGGCTGTAGCATGGCCGACTGCTGGGTGTGGTCCATCTCCCCTCTCAAGGTGTTCAGTTTCTGTACATGAACTCTGCAGTCGGCACCACTGCCTTCACCGTAAACCTGCAGCACAGAAGACCCCTTGTGTTCTCACTAAACAGCTGTTTAACTGTTTATGCATGAAATTGTGCTGTTTTAATAGGTCCTCATGTAATTTAAAATCGACTGAACACAGTTGCTGTCGATTCCTTCATTCATGATACTGACTTAAAAATAGATGGTGCTTTCTACAAATGTCATATACAAGGATTGTCCTGGTAATTTTTATCTATGAAAGAAAATCCCCCTGGTCCAAAAGCAATGAGATTTTTTAGGTGTGTGATTTTGCAAATTTTCAGAGACATTTTGTTTTCACACAGTGGAATCTGTAATTGATATTCGGTATTTGTGACTCAAATTATGTTGCAATTAATGTTACTAAACTATTTAAAAATATTAGCATTAGTATCAACAACAAAATGCATTAGTATATTTATTTCTGTTCACTGTCTACTTTAGGAGAAATTACATTAGTATTTCTGTATTTCTGTTCATTGTCAACTTTAGGAGGAATTATTTGCGAGAACATTTATAGATCATTTAGAAGGCATGTTTACCACCAACAGCTGTTCATTTCATTGGCATGCAGGGGACAAACAATTTCTAGGTCTTCAACAATTGTCATTGTGCTCCAGTGTTATGTATTGTTGCTTTTGATTATGTTGATAGCAGTCACTGATTTGTCTTGTCACCGCTCGATTATGGCGGATGTGATACGACTGGAATATTGCTGACTGCTGCGTTGTAATTTAATATATTCAAAGTGATGACATGAAATAGCGACTGTTGTAAATTGTGTTACAGTTTGTTGGGAAAAAATATATCATTTACATTCTAGTGCCTTCATCAATTTCGCTGTCTTATTTCCATCTGTAGTGTGGACTGTATCAAAGACAGGGTGTCTGACCGTATCAAATGAAATCTTATCAGTATGGACTTTTCAATTAATTAGAAATGACAGTTCATTATACAATGACTATTGCTTCAGGTTCACCCTTTTGTTTAACTAGCAACAAATAAGTCATTTATTTCCTGCAGAAGGCGGCATGTTTGCCATGTGCTAATTTGTGTTTGTGTTTGTAGGTAAAAAGGAGAGTGTCAATGCAGATAAAACTATTAAAGATGTATGCGATTTTCAATCGCGTTGAATGAATGTTGAAGAGATATACATGTACAGTATATGACAAGTATTCGAACATATCGCGGAATTGCGTACTAAGTCAATCGATGCAAATGACCTTAAAATTTAACAGATTGACTTCTTAATAAATCTTAAATTACTTATGGATTAAATACCTACCACAATAAAGTTGGAAATCATTATCAATGACAACTTAATTACTTGGTATTGTTAGCGAAGTGATGTCTGTGACAGTGGTAGAAACTTACATTTTTAGTCCACTAGGCCTAGTCCTTATACATCATGTACATAATAGTATATAGCAAACCCCTTAAAAAAGGCAAATTTCTACTAGTCCTTAAAAATTGGGCAGTTTTGCAAGGACTACAGGACTAGTGCCAATTTAATTTCTGATGCTGCATCATGTAAACACGAGCAGATTTAGGAGAAACGGCTGTATGTTCAGGACCATGACATGTATCAAATTTCATTCCACTTTCAACAAATATGGCTGAATGATAAGGTTTTTCAAAACTGGAAATCAGATTAGAACGTCTAGATCAAAGCATGTGAAGCTTCTGTTGATGGGTCCTTCCAAAAAAGTTTATTGCAAGCGACGCCATGCGATAAGTCCACTTAACTTTCAGTCAGGTGAGCTAAAAAATATAGCAAAGCAATTGTTACCTTGGTATTCAGATATTGATGAGGCACGAAAGTAAGTTGCTTCAGGATAAACTGTCTCCTCTTTGCTAAATCAGAATTGTTATTAGGGCCTACAACATTAACCTTTTGATATGTTGGTTCATCTGAAACTAACAGAACTTTGAAGCGTTTCAAACAAAAAATGAAATAAAAATTGTTTCGGGAATACATTCAAAATCTATCACAGCAACTTTTATGTTAGGGTTCAAAACTAGGTCATTTTGTGAAATATGACTTGTTTGTGACAGAATATAGTATACTTTTTTGATGGACTGTTTCTCTCCGCACATCTTGCAGACCCACTTGTTGACCTTCTTTCTCTGTTGCACCTGGAAGGTGTGGCAACTGTAGCACTGGACCACTTGAAACACCTGACCTGGCATCGTCACACGTGCTAATCCAGTATAAACAGACGCAGTGCAAACCACAAGGCCAAGCTAACGTTCTCGTCTTGGAAAGGTTGACATCAATCGTATCTGGCGCTTTCTGTGAAGGGGACGTAACTCTAATGTCACTCAGTTTCCTCAATTCTACCTCCATTGTCATGACATTACAGGGTCGGAGCCCTAATTCAACGCATTATTTTGTAACCATGTATGTCTTTCATTTTTCTTTCTTTGAAATAACTATTATATGTCAGGATTTAATTACATCTCTAATTAAAGTCTCCAAGTCAAAACTTCAAAAACATGCGGAGGTTGCCCACTAATACATTGTCCAAAGAAGCGTTGAACCAAATTCGCTCGCACACTCAATGCACACAATCCATGCGGAAGCGCCATAAATGTAACTTATCTTTTTGAGTAGGCATTCACCCATCAAACACACAACCGAGGTACGAGGAAGTAAAAGCAGACGACACTATGCTGTGCAGGGGCGGGATATTTACATAAATATTTTAATGGAGCACCCATCCTCGATACTTTTAAAACACCACATACGACAAACATTGTTACGATTTTATTTCAAAATAATCACAGACTTTGGGTGTTCATAAAAGAAAGATCGAGTAGATTCAGGTCGATTTCTATTGTACACAACTTAATGACAGCCCGAGTTGTAGTGTTGGGCCCGCACAGGTTTACATAAGACATATTACAGGTAAACAACAAGTACTTTACAGACTTACAAAGGGAACGTGAGTGAGTTGGGTTTAACGCCGCTTTTAACATTATTCCAGTTATATCACGGCGTGTCAGCTTAATGTGGAAGGAAAGCCCCAAGTGATACAGGTCTCAGACGATTACCACTGCGATGAAACCAACGAGCACGGGTATGGTGCTGACAAACCTAGAAACATAATCGGTTGCGAACCGGGATTCGAACCCACAATCATAGGTTTCTGGCGTGCCCAAGGGACGCAACTCTGCACGGCGCCTTAGACGACTGGGCCACCCGTTCCCCTACAATGGGTAACGGTAAACCGTAGGTATACTACAGGTATACTACAGCCATACTACAGCTATACTACAGCTTTACTACAGGTAAGTACTTTGTCGTATACTGCAACTATCAGTAAAGATGTTTATTGGACCAATGCTCTGTACTAGACCGCCTCCGTGGTCTAGTGGTAGAGCGTCCGCCCGGAGAGCGGAAGGTCCGGGGTTCGATCCCCGCCCGCGTCATACCAAAAGACGTTAAAAGATGGTACTTGTTGTTACCCTGTCTGGCGCTCGGCATTAAGGGGCTAAAACAAGGACTGGTCGGCTCGGAGTCAGTATACTGTGTCTGAGTGGGATATTCATGTTAAACTTCGGCATGGTATCTCAGTGAGCTAGCACTATAAATCGGCATCAGTCCGGACTAGTACAAGCAGCCACACAAACACACACACGTACATGCACGTCGCTATATAAGTGCAATAATCTTGGACGCGACGTTAAACCCCATTTCACCTCACCTCACCTCTGTACTAAAAAATGCTCCCTAAACATGATAACTACATCGTTTCAATCTGCTGCTTGGAATCAGCCTCAGACACAATGAATATGTATTATGTACACATGATTTCTAAAGCTGCGGTGATATATTTGGTAGAAATGTACCATCAATGCGAATGAGTGAGTGAGTTGGGTTAAACGCCGCTTTTAACATTATTCTAGTTATGTCACGGTGTGTCAGCTTAATGTGGGAGGAAAGCCCGAAGTGATACAGGTCTCAGACGTTTACCACTTCGGTGAAACCCACGAGCACGGGTATGGTGCTGACAAACCTAGAAACATAATCGGTTGCGGACCGGGATTCGAACCCACAATCATAGGTTTCTGGCGTGCCCAATGGACACACCTCTGCACAGCGAATCGCGGCGCCTTAGACGACTGGGCCACCCGTGCCCCTCCCAACCAATGCGAAAGACGATGTCTCGCCATCCATCCATCATTGTCCAAACGTCGCTGCAACACAATAATTCACTCATGACAGTAATTGTTGGAAGGATGTCTGTAGAGATCCGTCCTGCCATCTGCTTGATTTATCAAGCACCATTAGGTTTCACGCACAGGCAGTCACGTTATGCCATTTGAAGAGGAGGTACCAGTGTCTTTATATACACCTCTGTGAAAGTCAAATAGTCGTCATCATTATACTGAAGTAATTTCGTTCTAGATTGTTCATCGTCTGTAGGACTTTTCCTAGGTTTTCGGCACTTTTTGTCACACACTGCCGAAATTATCAGCAAAATACTCTGAAACAGAGACAACAGGGAATTAGAACAATTAGAACGTACAGATGATAAGGACTGTAAACAGGCGTCACCAAAACAACAGGGAGGTAATATTATTCCAACCGTGCATGTTTTAAAATGAATTAGGGATTACTATCAACTTGTCTTCAAATACTCACAACTACAATACACGCCAATCCTGTATACGTTAGGGTCCAAGCGAAACCACCATCGTCCGCCATCCAACCACCAAAGATGGGACCTATAAAATCTCTGAAATTTAGAAAATGTTTGTTACAATAACAATTAAAAATACGTATAACAGTCAAATGCGACATTTGCAACCGCTGATCATGAGGGACATCTTGGTGTGTTGACTGATACTCCATAGAACACACGCTACGTTGTATATTCTCTCGTGTATGAGAGGCATATTTCAGGTTTATGGAAGTCCTTCACATCGAAAACAGAACAGGACACGCGGTCACCTTTCAATTTAATTTAAATTAAGTTAAAATTTCAGTTAATTTTATTTTGATAATTTTAAATACATATATTAGCACAAAATAAAATTAACTTAAATTTTAACTTAATTTAAATTAGATTGAAAGGTGACCGCGTGTCCTGTTCTGCTTTATATATATATACCTCCTCTGTATTAACTTTCTAAAAAAATGACGCATTGTTTTGTTTGGCAACTTACAGTACCTAATAGCATGTAAGTAATACCCCGTGAACACAGTTGTAAACCGTTACATATAACGGTATGTAGCACCACCTTGGTCATTGCGTATCGATAACTGAAAAAATACATCCCTAGGGATATAATGCAGTTCCTCTTGGCATATTGTTAAGGAATAATTCTTTTAATCAACCTTGAACATGATCGTGTTAGAAACACACACAACCTACCCCACTGCATACATAGAGCACCAGATCCCTGCTACGGCGCCGTTAGTTTCCATGTTGTCTTCTAGACCACTGTCCCTGCAACGTAGACAGTAGGAGTATGTGACGTGTTGGATACTCAAGTAGACGTTTCTCTGGATTGTCTTGTCGGAAACAGGTGAGGCCAAAACAGTTGAACATTGAATGATCACAGTTTATTTTTTTACCAGAGTTATAAAGGTGTAACGCCCTCATCACTGTGGGTGATCCTCCCACAAGCTGACAGGCAGTGATATAACTGGAATACTGTTCAAAGCGGTTTGGTTGGTTGGTTTGTTGTTTAACGCCGCACTCCGCTATATTCCAGCTATATGACGGCGGTCTGTAAATAATCGAGTATGGACCAGACAATCCAGTGATTGATATCATGAGCATCGATCCACGCAATTGGGATCGATGACATGCATCAACCAAGTCAGCGAGCCTGATCATGACCACCCGATCCCGTTAGTCGTCTCTTACGACAAGCATAGTCGCTTTTTACGGCAAGAATGGGTTGCTGAAGACCTATTCTATCCCAGATCTTCACGGGTCTGTTCAAAGCCGACTCAAACCAAACTCACCCACCCACTTTCGTCTAAATAATAAATTCGGTATTCACGTCAATCTGTGTGTATTTGGGCTGAGGGTATCATGTGTTTGTAAAAAACGAAGGTTTCTTAAGAATGACGAATGTCACTTATTATTACACTGGCCCCTTTATAATGGCATAAGATATGCCCTTTTATCCAAACGCCAACACAACAATATGCAGGTTTTAATACTTTTAATAATCTTCATAAATAAGCGTTAATTTTGTCTTGCTCAGAATTAATGCATTACTGTCAAAACCTCTAATCTTTCACTCGAAAAGAGAAAACTGCTTATGGTGGCTAGGTTGTTTCATTATCTTTTTTTTTTAAGTTGGATTATAAATACAATTGGTAACCCATTGTTGTATAAATATTCCATGTATATTTTCACCGAAAAAATAGTCTCTCATAACCCTAAACATGTGGTTCATTATTGTTTCAATTACACGTATTTTATTATGTATTTATATATGAGGTGAAACGTTGATAAAATAATATGTGTGTCAGCTACGATCACTGCTTGTGTAGACTGAAGTGTAACAACACACGCCACGCAACCCCTGCCCCATCCCCAACACACACATACCCTCTTAAATCCCCGATGTCACATGCTTATAAAACAAAAGCCCAGAAAGTGACCAGTGGACTCAAGGCCATGCTCACTGATGCATGCGCCGAGTCGTGTGACAGTTACCAGTAAACCAGATCTACATACTGTGAGAGAGCCGTGTATTGTGTTGGGGAATACGCGTATTCGTATACAAAATCTACTCATAACACATCTGGAGTGAAGCATGACTCACGTTGCGACGTCCAGAACGATCTGGTAGGATGGAATAACAGCCATGCTGATTGCAAATCCAAGTGTCATCAGTGACACAATCGTCAACCAGATCTCTCTGTCGGTAAAACATAATTAAAATGGATAACGAAATTGTAAATAAAAGCGACAAAACCCTTTTCATATTCATAAGAAATCAGTACTATTCCGACCGTATCGTGAACACGTGTTTATGAATGATCAACTATCAACTAGTGATGACACCAGCTCTACAAGTGTCCCCATTACATTCACAAGAATGGAGTAAATCAAGCTTACTGGCCGATGTTTTAATGTATATCTGGTGAGATATAGTTTATAAAAGTGTCACAAGTTAAACACACATAGCTCAAACATTTCATAGCACAATAAAAGATACAGAGAATCTCACCCGAGTGTCTTTTGATATCAACACGAGTTGATAAAGTGGGATTTTTGCCACTTTTATCAACGAGTGTTGATATATTTGATATCAAAAGACACGAGGGTGACATTTTATTTATCATCCAACATCATTCTTTTTCAGTTTGTAGACAGTAATAAGCAGTGTCTTAGGTGTCAAAAAGTACTGCTAACAACTTCAGTAGCCAATGATGTCACAATGGTCTGCAAAGCATTGTGATTCAATTTCATTGCAGCGATATCTACAGTGTAGATATAGCTTGATCTCACCCAAGCGATATCTCCTGTGAGAGCCAGTTTTGGATGATAAATAGAGGATATTTAATGGTTTTCTCAAATACCACTTTTATCTCATCGAGTGAAGTGGGGAGAGTCTAAAACGTGACGCAGTCACGAGTGAAAATATTAGACTCTCCCCAATTCACGAGATGAGATTTAAGTGGTATTTTAGAAAACACATTGAATTTTCTATTTATTATATACATGTTTTATTTTTATTACTTGCAATTTATATATTTTTTCGAAAACAGTGTCTGATAAATTACTAAGTTCTCCCTGTCGCCCCTTTACCACCGCCGTATAAAGGGTTTTACGCAAAGAATATAGTTCGTGAATAAAACTAGCCCTGTTTATATATGTTATGCGAAATATATTATTTCATATCGAGTATTAAGTTCCGTGGACATTTTTGTTTGTCATAATTATACATTCCTGTTTAAAATGGATAACTCTTTAATGTTTTGATTCAGGAGAAAGTAGTTCCGGCACCTTGTTTATATTTATTTGATATATAAGTCACTAGTGACTGATATAACTTTTTTATATCAGTCACTAGTGATTGATAACTTGATCTATCGTCACTGATAAATTCCAGTATTTCATTCATATGTATATAATAAAAAAAGTTTAACATCCAGCCATATCTTGGCTTACGAGACACTTCTTATTTATTACTACATATGTACGATAAAATACTATTCACAATGATATATTCGTTATTAAGTGATGTAGAACAATAAACAATGCAAGTATCACATGAATAATTGTCATTTAAAAAACATGTTTCTTATGGTAGAGGCAATATATTTGATGCGCTTAGGATTATTTTCAGATGACAATTTAATGAATAGATCTTTAGGTTCTGAAGTATTGTAACAAGATAAATTAATGTTGTGACTTAGGTCCTTATAGAATTACACTCTGAAAGGACATGAACTTCTGTTTCCATTTTGTTACAAAAATAACAAGTTGTGTGCTCTAATGGCGCTATGTGTATGTACTGGCTTGTTGCTAGATGTTTTACCCTGCCGTGTCAAGGGCGGCCCAGTGGTGCATGGCGAGGCATCGTGCTGATATTCACTGCCTTAGTCGTAATTGCGGTCGGGAATTCTCAGCCCATATTCGCCTAGATTATGTTTGGTCTGACGGCACCACGACCATTGTTGCGTTTTTTCTCAGAATAGTTACATCTAGGCTTCTGCGTCACTTTAGGCGTTCTTCATATATGAAGCTGACACGCCATGATGAAAGTGAATGTAACTTTCTCTCTTTCTCGCACTCCCTCCTACCCACTCACTCACCCAATCACCCCCTCACTCACTCACTCACTCACCCCTACCCACTCACTCACTCACCCCTACCCACTCACTCACTCACCCAATCACCCGCTCCCACACTCACTCACTCACTCACTCACCCCTACCCACTCACTCACTCACCCCTACCCAATCACTCACCCAATCACCCGCTCCCACACTCACTCACTCACTCACTCACCCCTACCCACTCACTCACTCACCCAATCACCCGCTCCCACACTCACTCACACACTCACCCCTACCCACTCACTCACTCACCCCTACCCACTCACTCACCCAATCACCCGCTCCCACACTCACTCACTCAGCCCCATCCACTCACTCACTCACCCAATCACCCGCTCCCACACTCACTTACTCACTCACCCCTACCCACTCACTCACCCACTCACCTGTAATCGGGATCGAAGCCAAGGAGAGGAGAGCCGCCGAGCAGCAAGTGAGATATTGCACACGCCAGGAAGCCTGGGACCATCAGGATACGGTTGTCTGGCTGCAAGTATCATAACTTGGATATTTCCCCAAAAATAGTCATTTGATTAAGCCTATTAAAACTTACTCCCTTTTACTCCGATCACACGGAAGCGATAAACGTATATTCCTCAACTTCAAGTAATGAATCCCCTGTCCGATCGTCGCAAAATGTTGATGTGCATGCTTTAAGTACCCCCTCAGCATGTAGCGACATACACAGCACATCGCTAATTTCTCATTAATGTTCTGTTGGAACGAAACAGAAAATCTGTCGCGTTTGGCATTATAGCCATGACGACAGTTACTCATTGACTTCTGAAATTGTCCTCATGGAGGGACAAGAACTAACCAGCCTGTCTGCAACCCAGCTGCTGATGGGGGAGCCCAGGGCGTAGGATGCGGAGAGGATGAGGAAGATTACCCCGCTCATTTCTGGAGTCAAGTCGAACTGAAACATAGTAACGACATTGTGTCCACATTAATAACTTACATCACGCCATTAACGCCTTATTGACTGTTTCTGATCCACGCACCTGTACATATCATCGTATTCACCTATACTGGAGTATACATGAAGTGGGGCGATGGGATGGCCTGGTGGTTAAAGTGTTTGCTCGTCACGCCGAAGGCCCGAGTTCGCTCCTCACATGGGCACAATGTGTTGTGCCTATTTCTGGTGTCCCCCGCCGTGATATTGTTGTAATATTGCAAGAAAAGCGGCGTAAAACTACACTCACTCACTCACTCACTCACTCACTCGCCCACTCACTTACTCACTTGGGTAATAACATACCTTAGTCATGACCACAGATATATGCGTAGATAATGACATCAATGAATAGAAATGATTAAGGTAATTCCTTCCCACTAATTCGAAATAATAAGAAGGATAAGATTGAAAGGACGAATCTAATACGGAAATACGATGAGGGTGGAATTAGAATGTTAAATGTTAGGACTTTTATTGACTCCTTAAAGATATCTGCTCTTAAACGACACCTTTCCAAAAAGACAACCAATAACCTTTGCGGCTTCCCTTTAATATTTGTTCAACTACTATTAGGAAATAAATCCAGGTTGACAATCCTGTATGGAAAGACACTCTGGATGCTTGGTCAAAATGCATAGGGGGGCACGGGTGGCCCAGTCGTCTAAGGCGTCGCTATTCGCTGTGCAGTGTTGCGTCCCTTGGGCGAGCCAGAAACCTATGATTGTGGGTTCGAATCCCGGTTCGCCCCGATTATGTTTCTAGGTTTGTCAGTACCATACCCGTGCTCGTGGGTTTCACTAAAGTGGTAAACGTCTAAGACCTGCATCACTTCGGGCTTTCCTCCCACATTAAGCTGACACGCCGCGATATAACTGTAATACTGTTAAAAGCGGCGTTAAACACAACTCACTCAAAATGCATAAAGAGATATATCCTAAACGATGAAAACATTAAATGAAATCCTTACGCAACCACTGTGGCTGAATCACCAATTCAAATTATCAGATTTCATAATCAATTACTGGTATCAGAAGGAAATATATTACGTTACAGATATATGTAACTCACAAGGACCTATAACTTAAAAATATGTATGATATAAAAGGTACTATACTAGATTACAATCGATTGACCATAAATATACCTAATTTATGGAGAGATACTATTCACAGAACTATTTTTCTCAACACTTTACCACTAAACATTCAATCCTTTTATGACTTAATTAAATCGGGTAAAGCTTCTAGATTGTTATATGATAATCTTGTTAATTCAGTAAATCCGCCAGCAGTGTGCAAGAAATGGGAAACGGAGCTAAATAATGACATAGATTGGAACGTTTTATGCTGCATATACATATAATGTAAACAAACTACCTGTACCAACATAACTAAAAAAAACTTACCACTAGGTGAGGTGAAATGGGGTTTAACGTAGCGTCCAAGATTATTGCACTTATATAGCGACGTGCATGCACGTGTGTGTGTGACTGCTTGTACTACTCAGGACTGATCCCGATTTATAGTGCTAGCTCACTGAGATACCATGCCGCAGTTTAACATGAATACCCCACTCAGACACAGTATACTGACTCAAACCGACCAGTCCTTGTTTTAGCCCCTTAATGCCGAGCGCCAGACAGGGTAACAACAAGTACCATCCTTTAACGTCTTTTGGTATGACGCGGCCGGGGATCGAACCCCGGACCTTCCGCTCTCCGGGGGGACGCTCTATCACTAGACCACGGAGGCGGTCTACCCTTACCACTAATATGGTAGTACCTCGAATTCGATCATTTGTACAATACCAACTTACGTCAGTGAGTCTTGGTTCCAGTATGGGGTCCAGTACTGCCCACACCCCTGCCCCCAGCACCACTGACAGGAGAGTGACCAGCGCCGTTGGGTCCCTGAGTATGGTTCGGGTGGCCGAGATTCCTTTAGGCTTAGAAACTGCCCTGTCGGCATTGGTCGACTTAAAATGCCGCGCATCTACAAAGTATATATACATGTTCCCCATCATACACATGATGCAGAAAATATTGATACTTGGAAAATGGAAGAGAGTGTGTCCTGGGATCTGATCGGATGAAAAAAGTTGTTAAATGGAATTTGATTCTGAGATGCCCTAGTTTCATTGCGTATGAATATGTTTTTGTGGGTTTTTTAACATTTGAAACCTCCAACTACAGCCGTTTCAAATTAAATTAAATATGCTAAAAAATCATAATATATATTGTTTTAAAAACACAATGCCTTTCAGAAAGTGGTCAAATGTAACAAATGTTACATTTGGGATAACACTTTCTTAGTAAAGTACAGATTCTCGTACTTTTTGGGTTGAGTCCCGCCCGGGATTTGAACCCACACTGCCAGAGTGAGGCACATAATCGGCAGTGTGGGTTCAAATCCCGGACGGGAATCAACCCAAAAGGTACGAGAATCTGTACTTTACTAAGAAAGTGTTATCCCAAATGTCACATTTGTTACACTTGACCACTTTCTAAATGGCATTGTGTGTTCATAGCCGTGCCAATTTACACTTGTCAGAGGGGTACACAAAGTACGTGATCTAGACTACCAGTTGTCGGGTTCTCCTTTTTGTGGAAGCCTCGGTGGCTGAGTGGGTCAGATCGCTGACTTCGTATGCTGGCGATTAGGTGCCTCACTCTGGCAGTGTGGGTGCCAATGCCGGAGGGGACTCAACCCAAAAAGTACGATAATCTGTAATTTACTCAGAAAGTGATATCCCAAATATGACATTTGTTACATATATTATTTTTCTCCTAAGTTGGGTAGGCTAGTGGTGTAACCGTTCGCTCGTCACGCCGAAGACAAGTTCGATTCCCCATATAGCTACAATGTGTGAAGATTCCTAGTGTCTCCCCGCAGTGATAAATTTGGAATATTGATAAGAGCGACCTAAAACGAAATTAATTCACTCTCCTTAGAGTAATGTAATAGATAAATGTATCAATAGTGTTATGTTGATCGCTGCCCGAGAGTTCAGGCACCAAAGCAATGTTGTCCTCATAATGACACTACTAGTGTATCTCGAATCCTGTTTGTACCCAGGGAAGTGGAGTATATCAGTAAACATCGTACCCCGCACAGATGGAAGGAGGAAATAGTTGAACGGAAGACTTAAGACGATCAGACACCCGACCACCACGAACGGCAGGTGAAACCCACCCAGCTGCAACACACACAGAACATCATGGTAAGTGCTAATTCTATATTCAGTGGAAGGTAGACAGTAGGAATGTTTTCCAAGACATTGTGTGCACTGTCGTTCGTCCCTGGGTTTTGATATTGCTTTTATTAATTATTTAAAGAATAAATGGATATTGTGTTCTCTAATGTATAATCAATCCATTAAAATGTCCATCATCCATCTGATCCAGCCTCCAACTTATAGCCCACTTTTAAATAGCGAGACTATTGTCAACCAACAATCAAAACAGGAAGACTGAAGAAGGTTTAACCATTTCTGAAAATATTTTGCAGAACCGTAATAGATATGGCCCGCCTCTCCCCGGGCGGTTAGCTTTGATCAGCTGATGTAACCGCCCCAACCAAGTCAGCGAGCCTGACAACCCGATCCCGTTAGTCGCCTCTTACGATAAGCATAGTCGCCTTTTACGGCAAGCATGGGTTGCTGAAGACCTATTCTACCCCGGATCTTCACGGGTCTAATATTGAGGTAATTGAGAGGACGCAACATCGACATTTTAATGTGGGTGCACTCTTAATTTGGATGCACTCGCACAGCCAGTAATGTATCAGTGATAACCCTTAGTCCTAGTGATAACAACCTGATAACGCCCCCACGTGACCCGGCACATGACGTAGTACCGTCGGAGATGTGTACAAGATTGTACTTAAGTGGATAATATATCCTCGAACAGTAGAATGTGACATAGACGATCATTGTCATCTAGACAGGTCAACACAGTATCGACTGATAAGATGAAACAGTACGTTGCCTATTGACCTTAGCCATGCGTGTTCTCTGTATGGACGGACGCGCGTGATGAAATGGAACATACGATACCGTTTCAAAAAAGCGGCTAAAAATAGTCACCATTTGAAAGGTTGAAATGTCGACATGAGGTAAGGTTGCTATAACACTGCGTGTCAACGTGTCAACAACCTCAAGTTGAATTTAGAATCACGTGTCAGATCTAATAGAACGTGACAGAACTCAAGCGTGATCTAATATGTACGTGTCAGATCTCAGGAAGGATCTAATAGAACGTGTCAGACCTCCAGGCCGGAGGATCTAACATGTACGTGTCAAATCTCAGGAAGGATCTAATAGAACGTGTCAGACCTCCAGGTCGGGGGATCTAATATGTACGTGTCAGATCTCAGAAAGGATCTAATAGAACGTGTCAGACCTCCAGGTCGGGGGATCTAATATGTACGTGTCAGATCTCAGGAAGGATCTAATAGAACGTGTCAGACCTCCAGGTCGGGGGATCTAACATGTACGTGTCAGATCTCAGGAAGGATCTAATAGAACGTGTCAAACCTCAAGCGAGATCTAATACATACATGTCAGATATCAGGATAGACCCAGTAAAAACGTGTCAGACTTCAAGCGGCATATAATATATACGTGATGTAATGTTTTGTTTCAGACGTGAAACATCGACATCCACGACTCCAACAATGCCTTACCGTGTACAGGAAGCCGCCTATTGCAGGTCCAACCGTCATCCCCAGCCCAACAAACACCTCCATCATTCCCTGAAACATACCCGTCAGTGTTAGAGTAAGATGATATATACAAAGTAATCACAATAAAGACACACTAACTCACCCAAGTCATGTCCTATCTCAGCAATGATGTCTCTTTTGTTCAATCTGCCTCTTTCAATTGGTAAATATAAAACGTCATTGCAAGATAATAACCAGTCTCGATTATCCGACGAAACAGATTCCACTGGGCGAAAAAGCCAAGATAGCGGTAAAAATGATATGACGTGAGGTGAAATGGGGTTTAAAGTCGCGTCCAAGATCATTGCACTTATATAGCGTGCATGCACGTGTGTGTTTGTGTGGCTGCTTGTACTAGTCCGGACTGAAGCCGATTTATAGTGCTAGCACACTGAGATACCATGCTGCAGTTTAACATGGCTACCCCACTCAGACACAGTATACTGACTCCGAGCCGACCAGTCCTTGTTTAAGCCCCTTAATGTCAAGCGCCAGACAGGGTAACAACAAGTACCATCTTTTAACATCTTTGGTATGACGCGGCCGGGGATCGAGCCCCGGACCTTCCGCTCTCCGGGGGGACGCTCTACCACTAGACCACGGAGGCGGTCTAAAAATGATAATTTATGAAGGATCACTGAAAATCAGTGATGACACCAGGAGTCCGCGAAAAGGGTATGAATGTTCTGTCCTTAATGTAGAACCCGACACTCACACAATGCGCCTTTTGGTTTGTGTTCATCATCTAACAGAGATTTAATGAAATGGGATTTACCTTTCAAAATGTCATTGTGAAGTAATGTGTACCTAAGTAAGACAAGTATTTTCTATATGTGCCCAGGGTGCCGTTGTACAAAACAACCTTAGCGCTACGACTGTCGTAAGTCTATGTTAAGGTATGGGAGTAACGACAACCTTATCGCTAAGATCGCCTTGTACAGCAGCACCCAGATACATATTGTTCCTGTTTCGGCTACGATATTGCAGGTACTATGACACGTTCTGCGTATATCATGATTAATGGAGATGTTCTGAGAGTGTTCTAAAAAATGTGACATGTTTTTTATTCAACAATTTAGATATTTTCGAAACTCCATATTTTACAGTCATACAATACGATGGGAAGTACCATAACTCCGTGGTCTAGTGGACAGTGCGTCAGCCAAAAGAGCGAAAGATCTGCGGTTCGATCCCAGGGCCGGGTCATACCAAAAGAAGTTATAAGACAGTACTATCTGTTATACTGCAAGACAATCGACATTAAGGGGATACAATTAGGACTGGTCGGTTCATAGTTTGTTTGTTTGTTGTTTAACGCCGCACTCAGCAATATTCCAGCTATATGACAGCCGGTTCGTAGTCTGATTGCGGCATGGTATCTCAGTGGGCTAGCACAGTAATGCCGGACTAGTCCAAGCAGACATTCTTCCTCACCCCCCTCGTCTAATGTTTAAACCTCAAATCGTACGTAAATTGTATTTGCCTTAATAATTTGAATTGTGAAATGGGAGCCTGGAAGCAATATCATTTAAATAGTCAAAAACATTGTCTTATGATAGTACAGCGACTGAAATGTTATTTTAACGTATAACTGACTATGGGGATATACTTACAAACACAGCAGTAAAATTAGACCCGAACTCTTTGGAGGCCATAGTGAATGCGGCAGTTTGTTGAGCAGTAACCCCTATAGACAGGACGATCTGCATGAGGAAGCAGAACACCACGAACACCAACTGGCCGTCAGTCAGTGGGATGTACTCCAATATGCTGTAACACAGGTCCATTCTAACGTCAACGCCAGAAAGTGATAAGTCTCAAATATCATCCGCAACAGATTCAATAGGGCGTAACATGCAAAATAGTGATGAACATTAATTGGAAGGATCTGAAAATCAGTGATGATACCAGCTCACAAGAAAAAATACCCATATATACAAAATATACAATTTTGTATATTTGATATTTCCAAAATATACAATTTTGTATAGTTGGTATTTCCAAAATATACAATTTTGTATATATGGTTAGATTTTACCACTGCTTCATTCAATTTCCTCACCTCTTATAGAATGTTTCACATAATATGTGGTTGCAAAGTTTACTAATGATACCGAACAGTATAATTATTGCATGTGACAATAATGCTTTAATACTATTTTCATTATGACAACTATATGATGTTATGAAATAATTTGTATTTCGTTATGTTTTACAGATCTTAATAACAGTTTGATCAATATAAAATGCGTACGCCAGCAACAAGTAGTTGAAAGTAGTTTTAAACATTGATGTTTATCGTTCCAAAGCTCTGTTCTCCAGCTCAGTTCATCTTTGTTTACGAGAACGTTTTTAATATGGGCAATTTTCTTCTTTCGGGACATTGGAGCAGTCATAATATTCATAACATCATAAATATTAAGATTACAGGAAATTTTAACAACTTTAGTACTCCATGAACTTTTACATAGTAACCATTTTCTTCATCAAAGCGTTACAAGTACTGTTATTAAATCTTGGGGTAGTCTAAAAACATTAGCATTACTAACACCAAGAAATAATTTACCGGCTCTATTTTGGATTAGATTAACGTTTTATCCTCATATACCAGAGCCATAGAACATTACCGGCTCAACAAGACTTTCATACAGTTTCATAAAAAACATCATAAGACATACACCCAACAGAATAAGACAAAGCATGGCTGGCAGAATTGTACAACTCTTTCACAGTTTCACATATCTAGATGCTCGTCAACCCGTAGTCCCAGATAACGATATGATTCTACATAGACCAGTGTTTGCCCAGCGTAGAGGAATCTGGTTAATCTGTATCACTTAACGAGTGGTGAATCGCTTACTCTGCCCACAGTCGAGAGCAGCACAGTAATTAGTAGTTTAGACCAGGCGAATACACTGGTCACACTTGACTGGTCTGTCTGATGATTCGGTCACCTGCCAAATGGGATGTCTGACAATTGGGTGTGAACCTTACAGAGGAAGTTATTTTATGAATGCGTCACGTGTTTCAAAAGAGATGACCATTATCTAAGTAAAATACTTCTAAGATCATAAAGGACATAACATTTAATAAAGTGAAATTCATTTTCGACAAACTTTAATGAACAATTTTAAAACAGTGCGGGCAGATTCTATTTTCTAAAAGGTTTGGGGGGTTGTAAATCGTCCTGTTTCGATCCAGATCTAAAACTAGCTAAAATGCGACGGTGGTCCCTGTATTTAAAACATAAGGAGCAACAACGTTACGATCATGAAAGTTCTTAATGTATTGCCCTTAACGTTATGTTTATCGTTCCAAAGCTCTGTTCTCCAGCTCAGTTCATCTTTGTTTACGAGAACGTTTTTAATATGGGCAATTTTCTTCTTTCGGGACATTGGAGCAGTCATAATATTCATAACATCATAAATATTAAGATTACAGGAAATTTTAACAACTTTAGTACTCCATGAACTTTTACATAGTAACCTTTTTCTTCATCAAAGCGTTACAAGTACTGTTATTAAATCTTGGGGTAGTCTAAAAACATTAGCATGTAATGTAACAAACGGGGAGGAGAGACCCATGTCTCCATTAGTGGCTATACATGGAGGTACCGTTACTAACACCAAGAAATACTTACGGGCTCTATTGTGGATTAGATTAATGTTTTATCCTCATATACCAGAGCCATAGATCATTACCGGCTCAACAAGACTTTCATACAGTTTCATAAAAAAACATCATAAGACATACACCCAACAGAATAAGACAAAGCATGGCTGGCAGAATTGTACAACTCTAAACTTCTTGACCAATCCGCTTCATGTACATTTTCAGAAAAACATAACATAACATGGGAATACCGTTCGAATTGAGCCTCGCCCAATTTCCCTGTGCGCTGTGATTTTTTATTTATTTTTTTTAAATGAAAATTTTTCAGGGACTAGCTGTGCTACCACACATGTTAAACCATTTTTACAGTTTTGTCTAATTTTAGCGATAATGAAAACTGAGTAGAGATAAGATATATTGATGAACAACGTCTTTATTACAGTTAGGAGCGACGCTTAGGTGTATGTTGTAACACCATTATCAAGCAAGTGATGTTGTTCATCCACAGATCTTATCCTCTCTCAATACTCCAACCTCCAAATTCCTCGCAAAGAAGATAATGATACTTGTTTTGAATCTTGCCATCGTACAAAATATTCTTCGCACAGTATTCAAGAAACAATGTAACATTAATATCATACTACGCCATCAATATATGCTGTGCAATATTTGAGAGGTTGGCGCCTGTCGGGACGGTGTGAGATGCTAAAACTGTTCTTGTATAGTCTAGTATCCTTTGGCTAGTGACAGCTACCACTGTTTATTCCCATTCAAGTTGCTAACGGTGTTTCATCTAAACAGTATTATGGGAACGGAAATTAAAACATTACTTCATTCGTTATGCTACCATTTTTGAATATATGTCCATGAGATTAATCTGTTCATTTTTCCGTATTTTTATTACGGAACTTATAGCTTTGTGTGGCACAAACGATCAAATAGTAAGATGACTACAATTAAAGGGCATTAATAACGAGAGGCTGTTCACATATATGTACATCATATATGTATCACGCGAATCATTTCTGATTTTACTCGACGTAAGAGCTAGAAACGTTACCTACTTCCGGCGCAGCGGTTCTAGATGTTGGCGCTATCTAGATTGGGTCCCTGACACATGCAGCTGAACTTTTATAAATCTATTTTTTGCAAATATATACTGGTCACTCCAACTAATCATTGTTACTAAAATATATAGGATTGTTGTCTATAACGTGTCCATTTGTATGTCTGTTTTACGTCTGTTCTACTAATTATTGACACTAAGAAACTCGTACAATTTTTTAAATCATTACTAAACGTGTTGTACTTGTCTACATCTGAATTGAAAAGTGGGAGAAAAGTTGCTTACTGTATTTTGCCGCCTTTGATGGTTCTGATGATCAAGATGACAACGTCAAAATCTAAGTGTTCAGGAGTCGATGAGGATTCAGGAGTTTTTGAATTGATGCAGAATCAAGGTTGGGGGTTATTATAGGCCTAATAGTGCACCACGTGATTTATGTCCAGGCCCCCGTGACATGCAGTTGTCATGTGACATGTTATTAACTAATTGAATTGCAAAAACAATTCCGACAGCAAATAACCGCATCCACAACAACAATGCGTGGATGCAAAGAAAGAAACCATTTTAAACCCCTTTCTGTATATTTGTATTTGTATTCCTTTCTGAAACTATCATTCTACAAACAGTTGTGTTCACCGCCCATTGTGATACTTCTACTTAAGAAAATAAAAAAGGATGTTTATTTAGTCATTTGACATGCGTTCATTGTAAACAAGGATTAGTGTGAAAGGATTACTAAGTTTGTCATCCAGTATAATGCACTTCCTCGATTAGCATAATTAGAACAGAGTTTGTAATTAGTTATATCCTGACTCCAGTTAACCAAGGCAGCTACATCAGTTGTGATTTAGGAATTTGTGGAATCTTAATGAAAATAACGACCGTCTGTCACAAAAATACAAACGAACATTGAACACGCACAGTTGCAGATTTTCCTTTCGTACATTTGAGGGTGAACGCGAACGAAGCCGTGCAAGATGCTTTACAGCGATTTGTCTTCAGAACACATATTGAGCTCAGGTAAGTTTATTAATGATGATATTTTCATCCATTCATAGATATGGCGATCATGAGCGCTGACACTATATGTATTCGCAATAGAACATTTGGAAGACTAGACACAAATTGAGTCACAATATGACAACATCAAATCAAAGAATTTGTTTAATGCAACAGATTTAAGGCATTGAAATTGTACATTATTATAAAATACATGAGTGTCGCTACGTCTCATGTCAAATACATCAATGAATGCTTTATAAAAAAACTTTATTTAATATTACTATGAATTTATAGCTAAAATTATGGAGTCTTGCATGTCGAGCCAACAAACTATAGTACATATTATTCACCTTGGAATTTCTGTTTACTGTGCTTGCGGTGGGGTCAACCCTATTCCCAAAATGGACAGTTCCAAATACTACTGCATAAAATATTAATGCCAATTTGGAGAAAATTACCAAATGAATGAATGCAAGTAAAACTTAATCCAGGGAAAAAGAAAACTGTTCAATATCACGTCAAAGTGTGCCCAAGTGCAAAACCTAATCTTAAAATGAAAGGACTTTGGTATTAATATTTCAGTCAGATTATGATATTGGCGAGTTAACGAGGTAAGCCCTATGATTAATTGTCTTAAATACCTTTCTGGTGTCCACCGCCGTGAACCATACTCAATCACTCAGATAAATAACCCCTTTTACATAAGTCATGAACAAGCATATATATATTGCCAATATTTTGCTCCAATGTTTTGGATAATTGTACCAAAGAAAAAGAATTAATCCTAGAATGTCTACACATTAATTCATTACGGACGCTGAAATAATGCCGATGAGACGTTAATTTTTACCTCGCCCACTTACTGATTACGGACTATTTGTTGGCCAATAAGAGGTACAAGCCACGTGAAAATGTAGAGTGAGACCAACGTAGCCATTACACCTTTTTACAAGATGGAAAACATCTTTGCTGTTACTGATTACATATAAAGAAATCTAACCAATTCACAGGCTATACGTTGTAGAACTGAATGCAAGTCATTCCTACCTGATACCATTAATAATTGGAATAGTCACCGGAAAAAGAGGATTATTAAACTTAGACAATGTTATATTCAGTTAAGCCATGATACCAGATTTTGTCACTTAAAACTTCCATCGGCTTAAAAAACACATCTCAGATAATACATCATGCATGCTCTTGTGGCTGTCACAATAGTACACTGCATTAATTTTTACACATGCCCCAACTACAATATATTTAGAAACGATTCTATTCTAAAGGTTAAGTGAGTTTCTAATCAGTGGTTTATTGGAAACAATTTGAACAGTGCCTAATTTAGCTATTTTGAAATCGGCCATGTACATCCGACATTCGGGTGGATTTGCACATATATAATAACTAGTAGTAAGACTTAATACATACTTTGAGACACGTATTAAGTATTAAAGAGTTAAATAACTTTTCTTAGAAAACCCCTTTCCATCAACCGCACTGTTGACCTATCTTTTTTGTTCTGTTTTGATGTATTGATGTATTATTTAATACAATATGTATATCTCCCCTCATCCCAATGTTAATAAAAGGAAGCTTGGTGGGGACTTTTGGGATATAAGAAATGAATACAGACTGCCATATTGTCTGAATGTCTTAACAATCACCGGGTGTGACCACGTAGACAGGATATCATTCGGGTTTCTCATAATTACTCCATGAGCATGCTTGGTATTGTAGCTTGGGGATATTAAATGTAAGTTTGTTATCAGAGGAGATTGATAGTGAACTTTTAGTACCAGTTAGATATGATATCTATATGACTTCTTTCTGTTTGACAAAGGATTAAGGGTATATGTGTGGGTAATCCTTCCACGCTGATGAAAGAAAGTCACTCTACTAGTTCATGTAATCTACGTCAAATAAGATCAGAACACATGCATTATTACAACATACTCAGGATACCAATAACAACGAAATGTACAAATTAACAAACATGATCAATATTATTATTACATGTTAATGCCATGTATGTAAATATAGCTATATAAACATATGTTTAATTTTTCAGCTTGTGTGAAGTCGTCCATAAATACAAGAAAACGTATATTTTCCCAAAATTATATTACCCTCAAAAGGGCAATTATATTCATGTTACATTTTTTCAGTCTCTTTTTTAATTCGAATGACGTAACATTTATGTTACTTTGATTTTATTAGACCCATGTTGTTGTTACAGACCCAGGGATTGACTAGGTTCATTACATGTCATAAAAGTGCCGGGACATAATATGGTGGCAATACATTCTCTAATTAACACCTGTCACAAAGGGACGGGCAATTTGGGTTTGTCCTCAGGGAATGTGTTATGCAATTTGTGTATTCACGAAATAACATTCAACAAATTATGTACATGGTCCTGTGATGTAGGATTGATGCATTCGTACTTTTTATAAATAAATGAATTGCATTTTTTTTCTTAACCGTGTGCGAAATACGCATAATGTCGGAAAGCGCAAGTTAAATACTGACTTCATCCCAAAATAAATCACAAACCCTCTCTTATAATTTGTATATTATTCTATATTTTAATTATGTAAATCACGTTCCTGTCACTTTTAAAGTAGAATACGTTAGTCACTCAACCAATTCCATTATTATTTTCCCAAAGATCAAAGATAAAAGCAGTTATCAAGATTTATTTTCCATATCTTTAAAAATACTTAATCTTTACATTGAAACTGCCATCATGATGTATTATTATTATTATTATTATTATTTTTACTATTATTATTGATGTACATATGGTTTGCACCCAACCATGCGCGTGCCAAATTATACAGCATCAAGCTTTTAGAGCGCCAACTAAGTTTTCCAAAGTAGAAATTAAGCCAAATTAATATATATCAAGTTTCCTTTTGCTAGAACATATGCATGCTGTTGTGTTTTTTCAAGGTAATATTCGTTCTCGCATTGATAACAATATTTAAAGAACAAGTATTATAAAATATAATACGGGAATATATTACACACGTTATTTACGCATCCGGTTGCTCATAATACAATTTTCCCCAAGGCCACCGTTTTAAAAAACGCGATTTTCCGCGTTTCCGCCGAGATTTCACATTATAACAATGTATATCTACAATGAAACCGACAGCTCAGAACAAACCAAATTCAACACTTTTAAGTAGTGATAAAATAGTTTTCATCCTCTGTGCAATCCACTCTGTTGGCATATGTGCACGAGAGCATGTTACAAAACACATCGCGGCCTCCCCGTAAAACAAATCCAAGCTCAAACACTTTCAATACAGAAGTTACCGCCAAAGCAATCGCCCCCGACAGCTAATCCCCTCTGTGCATTTGACCATAAAGTCTACTCACATACCAAGCACCGCGCCAGGAAAAGTACCAGACGCCTCAACCGCCCACCCGTCAATATCATTGCAAGGACAGTATGTACTCCCGCTAACAGTGTGGAGTACTAATTAAACCTTCCAGTAATGTTACCCGCCACTAAATCAGTTTTTTGTAACTTGCTGATACTATTTTGCACATACAAAACATTTATAGAGCAATGCATAGCAATTATCCTCCTTTACCAACATATACAAAGAAACACAGTGCTCAACTTAAAACACTTCAATTTGCACATATATCATAATTATACACAAATACATAATAATTATCTCCCTTTACCAATATATACAAACAAAACAAATTTGGATACACCATATATACAAATTTGTATATTTTGTATATGTCATATATACAAACTTGTATATTTTGTATATATCATCTTTCCAATCTTGTATATCCTTTGGAAATATCATCTTTCCAAAGGATATACAAGCTTGTATATATGGATTTTTTTTGCAGTGCAGGTGTTCACGAAAAGGATAAACATGTCCTGCTCTTCCGGAAACAGTAACCACTTAAACATTGTTGCTTAAAAGGTTTGTTTGTTTGTTTGTTGTTTAACGCCGGACTCAGCAATATTCCAGCTATATGACGGCGGTCTGTAAATAATCGAGTCTTGGCAAGACAATTCAGTGATTGACATCATGAACATCGATCCACGCAATTGGGATCGATGACATGCATTAACCAATTCAACGAGCCTGACCACCCGATCCCGTTAGTCGCCTTTACGACAAGCATAGTCGCCTTTTACGGCAAGCATGGGTTGTTGAAGACCTATTCCATCCCGGATCTTCACGGGTCTGCTTAAAAGGTAAGTGCCACGAGGTGTGAACACTCCATAGGACAGCATCGGACATCATGTTGACCAGAGAAGTGACATAGTTAGTCAATTCCATAACAATTCTGGATTGACTTGACCAGGATTATTATGATAAAACCTTGATGGAAAAGGTTAGTTGAAAGCAAAATGTGTCACAACGTCGAAGTTCCTTCAAGAAAACCATCGTTTCTGGATAAAGAGGGAAATGATACTTGAGATAAGATTTGGACTGAGCGTTCCATTTAAGTTGACCGAGGTTTCGCGGTCGTCATAAAATAATAAGTCATATGAAATTTGGATCGTTCATTCACCTTTAATACGATAGCCAACGTTCTAAAATAGAGAGATAAATCATATGTGAGACGAAACTTTGGCATATCAGATGATTCATGAAATACGAAAACGGCAATGGATATGTGAGACGAGGTGAGAACCGTGTTTCACTTCGAGATATTCGACGTTTTGAGTTTCTACATGATTAGTATGCTTCAGAGAGGCGGATGGGCACCAATGTACCCTACCCTAGTCTGGAGCCGCGTATGGCAAGGAGGCAGAATAGATTTTCGATAGTTTTTGGTCAATGGTAGTGAACCTACCCAAACAGTAACGTACACCCTCCAGCGAAGAATACCCCAGACAGATAGATGAATCTGGATCCGATATTCGGTATCTGTAAGAATACGGTGTATGAAGAAAAGTGTAGATTTACATTCTAATATTTATGTAAATGTTTATTCAAATATTTATGTAAATGTTCATTCAAATATTTATGTAAATGTTTCTTCAAATATTTAAATAAATTGTTTATTCAAATATTTATGTAAATGTTCATTCAAATATTTTTATAATTGTTCATTCAAATATTTATGTAAATGCTCATTCAAATATTTATATAATTGTTTATTCAAATATTTATGTTAATTTTTCTTCAAATATTTATATAATTGTTTATTCAAATATTTATGTAAATGTTTCTTCAAATATTTATATAATTGTTTATTCAAACATTTATATAAATATTCATTCAAATATTTATATAATTGTTCATTCAAATATTTATGTAGATGCTCATTCAAATATTTATATAATTGTTTATACAAATATTTATGTAAATTTTTCTTCAAATATTTATGTAAATATTACAAATAATCCACCGGTATACGGGGTGCAAATCTAAAATTACTTTGGTCAGTACAACAGACTGAGTACATTCCGTCACTTATCAGGTGAAATTAAGCAGCGGCGGATCAATCAAACAGTTTGATTGGTGACCGCGCTCGACAAATTGACTCCCGAGTTTTTAGGGTTTTGGTCCTGCCCCACATTGACGCTCATGTAGCTCATGTGGCACATGTGGTGTCTCCTAAGGCAAGTGACTTTGTTCGGAATATACCTATGTTAACCTAGCAGTAAATGGGTACACGTTGGGATGAGATGGAATTATTGTTATTATTATTTACAGATTAAAATACAAAATGCAGCAAAGAGGGTTTGGGTGATCCTGACACAGTCAGGCTGGTTAGGCTCATCATCAGCTCAGGGCCCTTGCCCCCTCTACACGCAGACCAGACAGCGAATGCCTAGTCAAACCCACCGAGCAAAATACGGAGAATGCGAAGACTTCCTAATGCAGCCTTCTGCATTATTCAGATTGTCAGAAGGGCTTATTCCTGGCAGCAAATCCGGGTGCTCTCCCAAATGTCAGTCAACAGATCGGGAGGTACCAAAACTAAGGCACCGAGAACAATGGGGAGTCGGACATTTTGGTACTTGGGATGCAAGCGTGACATTTCGAAAGCGAGGTCCGCATATTTGCCATGTTTTGCCTCAATCTTGTCAATCACATCAGTGTCAAAGGGGACAGAAAATTCAATAATATAAATGATTTCATTGGATTTATCAAAAAGGACAAGACTGGGCCTGGATACGTCTAAGGCCGTAAATTGGCCTATTCCAAAAAAAAATGTATTTATCATTTTCACTGACGCACTCTACATATTCCTGGTCGTACCATGGGTGGACCTCTGTGTCAAAACCGCAAGCATGGCGATATATAAACACATCATGAGTTATGCATACACAAAGCCGTAACCTAACGAGTTGACAAACTAACTATTAAACCGTACTTACATATTTACCAATAAGTGGAGAGAAGATGACTTGTCCGAGAGCGTACGCGGCAAACACCCATCCGGACACCAGCGTACTGATTCCGCGTACCTCCGTCTGTAACATGTAACAAGCATAGTAACACAACGCAAGCGCTCCATCTGTTGTGCATCGGGCAATTCTACGTCCTCTAATAATACAGTATCGAAAGACAATAATTACAACGTGTTTAACAAACTTCAAGAGACAATAAAATCAGTTCGATATTCATAGGTGCAAAAAGGTTTATTTTCCATTGACTTGTTCTTTCCTTAGGTCCATCCAGAGTTGACACGTGTGCGCTGTTATGTAAATCAGTTTGTTGTAGCAGTATGTCTGTAACGTCAACACTTTGGTTTATAGCCAGAGTTTGACCTGTGAATAGATTCCCTACCTCCGCGGGATAGAGGGGACTCATGATGGACTCGCTCATCATGATGATGAAGCTTGTGGTACAGATGCTGACGATGACGCACTTGTGTCGCCTTGACAACCGTCGGTAGGAGAAGCTTCCCTCACCTTGGACCTCCTCCGAGGAATGTGCATCACTTTCATCGGTGTCCAGGCTGTCACTGCACGACATGATCTGCTCAACACAGGTGTACAGTGCATGGTGAATACATCGTAAACTGACATACAGTGCATGGTGAATACATCGTTAACTAACAGACAGTGCATGGTGAATACATCGTAAACTAACATACAGTGCATGGTGAATACATCGTAAACTAACATACAGTGCATGGTGAATACATCCTAAACTAACATACAGTGCATGGTTAATACATCGTAAACTAACACACAGTGCATGGTGAATACATCGTCAACTAACATACAGTGCATGGTGAATACATCGTAAACCAACATTCAGAGCATGGTGAATACATCGTTAACTAACATACAGTGCATGGTGAATACATCGTAAACTAACATACAGTGTATGTGAATACATCCTAAACTAACATACTGTGTATGCAAATACATCCTAAACTAACATACAGTGCATGGTGAATACATCCTAAACTCACATAGTGTGCATTGTGCGGGGTTTGCGTTCAATCAACAAGGAAGAGTGAGAAGGGGAATAAGTCGCTATAAACGATATTTTCTTGATTTGGGAGAGAGCCCGAAGTGATAAAGGTCCTAGGCTTTACAGCTTTGGTGAAACACACGAGTGCAGGTGCCCTGCTGACAAACTTGAAAACATTATCAGGGCGAACCGAGATTCTAACCCACGATCATAGGTTCCTGCAACGATTAAGGGACGCAACCCTGAACAGATTTCGGAGCCTTTTATCTGCTATACAGTGCCACCATAGTCCCATTTCCGCCTTTGTAAGGGTTAAAGAACGTTCGTGTTGGAGACTATTCCAGCTATATCACGGCGGCATGTGAACAGTCGGGTTTGGAGCAGGTCAACCAATGGTTGATGAGGGACAACTACACGCAATCAAGTAATCGCGATTCACTGCCTGACCACATGATTCATCTTAATCCCTTAGTTCTACAACAGAATACCAACGATATACAGCACCGATGTATCGTTGTGAACATTTATATCGATATACAAACATAAATAATGAATGGTATGCAGGTCGATTGAAATGAAAATACAATGTGTAAAACGTTTAAATGTGGATTGAAGCCGATGCTGCTGTTGGATTGGCGGACAACAAGTAGAAGTATTGCTAGCCTCTTTGATGTCTATCTAAATGGTTATTAATAATAGTATTATATAATGCGATGTCTTCCGCCATATTCATTGGCCTATTTCAACAGAGACGCATACTGACCACAAGTCAGGTCTGATAATTTACGGTATTGACTTGAGTTTATAAAAACAGAATGGGAATTACCCGGACGTGGTGTTCCCCCAAACCGAAGCCAATCAGATGTCCCCGTTTGTTGGAACATCATAATATTATTGTAGCTAACATAGATTGATATGTTGAGTCTCCTTTTATCGGTTTATTATATAAAAAACAGTTATACACTTTATATGAGGTGTAATATAACAGGTATAATTACTGGCTTTATGGACCTAAACAATACCAACATCCGTCAATTTTTGGTTTTGATCAGGTGCATAAAACAGTTATCGACCCCATATAAAGTCTACTGTTACATATCACATAAACTTGGTCGTGCACACTGCCTACCCGTGCCGACTTATATCAAAACACGTACACCATTGGACAACGTGTACTAACCTCGCTACTTCCGCCATAGCTGTTTTGACGGGAAGCGGCCTCTTTGTTGGTGTCCATTTCCGAGCAGCCATTTGCATATCACATCACTTCGTCCTGCAACACGACATAGTACATGTAGCTTGCTTATCTATATGTATGTACAGTGAAACTAATACAGCCCTGGCCGTTAATAAGAATATATCAGTTTACAAACCCTGTAAAAGAAGAGGTGGTTGCGGGTTTGTTTTTCTTAAAAACACAGCTCATTACTTTTGGTTGAATGAAAACTCATGTGTGAATGCTGTTTTTGTTTTTATCACGAGTGTTTCGGCATCAAGAAAAGTAGTGATCACGAACAAAGTGTAGCGAATTTTGATAGTGAATGCATAATGAAAATGCGACATTTTATTATTGCAAGCTACTATCGGTCGCCTCAATAAAACGCCTTCCTCGTCAATACAAATTATTTCTTGTGATGTGAATGTTATGTTAAGCATCATTTACGCTTACTTGAAAAAATACAACATAAAACATATATAAAAGTAAAAATAATGTATTGAAATAACCTTAACTAACGAGTAAAAGAAATGTTACCAACCAACATTGTTTGTTCTTCAAACAGGACAGGACTGGTGTCAAGGAAGATACTTGTATTGTCAAAAGACATGAATTAAGTTAAGCCGTGAATGAGAACAAAAAGGATGGTATTGAGTCCACAGTTTGAAAGATAGGGTCTGTTTTTCAGTAGTCGATGTACCAGCAAGACTAAAATCAGCACATAAAACTCTATTTAATCCTTCATAATGTCGCACTGATCAGTCAGTATCGCGTATGCCCACCATAGTCCAGGCAATCTAGGCCATTTTTTCACTCAACTTGGAACAAATTGCAACAGAATTTATTTCACCACAATGCATTTCTGCAAGGTCCCAGGAACAACATACTAAGAGTCCCAAACAATCCTAGTTTGGGAAATATGTCTAATTTGCATAATCCAATATGGCCACCAATTATCAATATATCTTCCATGCTTCAGATGAGGTTGAATCTTTTGATGAAAAAGGCATGTGTTGTGTTGCAAAATAGCTATATTGTGTTTCTAAAAGGTGTTCACAATTCCTGAACGTTTTCGACTTTTGATAAATCTACACAAATTCAAGATGGCCACCAAAAACAAGATGGCCACCAAGTTTCCTTATTATGAGTTTAGACTGTGGAATCGTTAACTCTAAAACAGTGTGATATGACTTATATGCATAATTATTACTTGGCACACTAACACAGAATACTGAATCATTTGCATAAATCCAATATAACCACCACATATCTCGTAAATGACATGTTTTGGCCAGTCTAAATATCAATATTAATTGTTATTGTCTGTACCTACATATTACCATGACAATAAACACTATGTTGAATACCAATGAAACACTTCTTTTTTTTTAATATGAATACCAGTTGGAAAAACAGTGTGTCCACATGAGGTCCTGCCAGAATTAATCCAAGTTGTTTCACAATTAGTCAATGAGTCATCTCCATTGTAGTTCATTTGCGGAAATCCAATATAACCAGCAAATACCAATATTTAAACGTTTGTTTATTTGTTTAAAGCCGCACTCAGCAATATTCCAGCTTTATGACATCGGTCTGTAAATAATCGAGTTTGAACCAGATAATCCAGCGATTGACATCATGAGCAACGATCCACGCAATTGGGATACGATGACATACATCAACCAAGTCAGCTAGCTTGGCCACCCGATACCGTGTACGGCAAGCATGGGTTGCTGAAGACCTATTCTACCCCAGATCTTCATGGGTATTTGCATATAAATCTAAAACATGTTCATTCAGTTACATGATGGTGTGATTCATGATCATTAGTACGGGATGAACAACGGAACAACTGTCAAAGTGAATGCTGTATCTTTAGGTAGCAGGCTTTACACTTTTGTATCTCGAAAGTCTCAACAGGTTTGTCACCCCCTGAGAGGTCTAGCAACTGTATATTTGTACAGCTTGTACCATGGCATACAGCAGTGCAAGTGAGACCATACTTCCGTCAAGTGCATCTTCGTATGTTACAGTCTTTTTTGAATTTACAGCTGATTATGTCCTGGAGTCCTGAAGGTGCTGCAGGCTGATCTGAATGTAATGGTAAGCACTATCCATCTATCATCTGCCATCCCCGCTCCAATAGATTCATATTGAACTCTTTCCACTCCATTATCCCGTAGTAGACACGGGGTCTGTGGTATCTTGCGGCTGCAGGGGATGGTGGCAGAGTTAGTGGCTCTACGCGTGATAGAATCTTCGTCACCCTCCCCAAAAATCGTTTGTATCATAAGCTATCCAGTCCTTCCTTCTTACATTCGCCATATAAGACACTAGTGCATGTTTACCTGCTTCGGTGATGACTTTTTCATCCCCAGTTTCTTCTGTTTGGCTGAAAATTTTAGCCTGATCACAGAACAAGGCATTATTCTTCAATGCTAGACCCTTTACCAAGCCAAACAGTCGAGGAGTGGTGTCACAGCCAAGAACTGTATGTAAAAAGAGCACATGCTCACATACATCACTGCCCAGCAGCCGCTTTGATTCCTTTATGCACCAGATCCCGTTCCTTCTTGAAGCTGGCCTGGGTTATGGTCAAGTCAACTGCTTCTATTTTAACATGATGAAGAAGGAGGATGAGCAAGTCTGTGTCATCTTCCAACAGGACAGTGTGACAGCGCCTAGTTTTGCATGAACCGTTCTGCACCAAGCTCTCTCCGGTTTGTCAGGCAATAAAGCGCTGTTTGTGGTTTGCTTTGTTCTTCTTTGTTCTGTGTTCTTCCTTCTACGATTAAATAACCATTTTGCCCGTGAAATAATCTCGCCAGAACAGGTCCCTGTGTTGCATCTTTCGTTGATGGATCATCATTGTATCCATTAACGACAATGTTAGCAGCAGCATATTTATGTACAACATATAGATGGTCTATAGTTAACATAGGTGATATAGCGTAGAACATCTTGGTCAGGGTAGCCTGTGAAGTAAAGCACTACCATCAAGAATGTTCTGGACATTTCAAGATACTCAGTCTTTCACTTGGATGGTGTCCCAGATAACATCAGCAAGGGTTGCCTTACTGACCTGCAGTGCTAGGGAGGAGGATTTAAACAATGCTGATCGGTGACTACAGAGTCACATGAACAGTGCTAGTACATAGATCTTGTATTGTACTGGTGGGACAGTTTATTTCACGAAGGAAATGGTCATTCGATCTAAGAAGCATTCTTGAACAACGCAAAAAACAGACAGCACTTTATTGCCCATCTGGGTGACAAACTGGATAGACTTGGGTGCAGTTCTGTACATGCAAACCGGGAGAACATTAACTTGGGTCTCTCTATGGCGGATGTAAGGAGGAAGGACGGGATAGCTTAAGGTACAAGTGATTTTGTTAGAAGGTGACGAAAAACCTGCAACATGCAGAGCCACAAACTCTGCCACCAAACAAGATACCACAGCCCCCTTGTCTCCTCCCAGATAATGGAGTAGAAAGGGTTCAGTATGGATCCATTGGGTTGAGGATGGCACATGATAGATGGATGTTCCTTACCCATACAGACAGATCACCCTGCAGCGCCTTCAGCACTCACGGACATCATCCGTTGTAATTACAAACGAGACTGTAAAAGAAGAGTGAGTGAGTGAGTTGAGTTTAACGCCGCTTTTAATATTATTCCAGTTATATCACGGCATGTCAGCTTAATGTGGGAGGAAAGCCAGAAGTGATGCAGGTCTCAGACGTTTACCACTTCGGTGAAACCCACGAGCACGGGTATGGTGCTGACAAACCTAGAAACATAATCGGGGCGAACCGGGATTCGAACCCACAACCATTGGTTTCTGGCGTGCCCAAGGGACGCAACTCTGCAGAGCGAATCGCGGCCACCCGTGCCCTCTGTAAAACAAGAAGCGCTTGCAAGAAATATGGTCTCATTTTAAGTGTTGTGTGCGGCGACTGCCATGGTACAAGCTGACGATGACAAACCTTTGGAGACTTTCGAAGTATAATGACCCTGCAATATCTAGCTACAGCATTCACCGTGACAACTTTGCTACTATTCTTCAAGTAATAATGTTCATAAATCACACAATCATGTAACTGAATGAGCAGTGGATCAAACATTTTCAGATTTATATCCAAATATTGGTTATATTGGACTTCCACAATTGAACTACAAGGAAATAAATAACAAACTACTTGTGAAACAACTGTTTTTTCGGTAGTAAATTCTAAGAGGTCCTCATGTGGACAAACATGAATGAAAACAAAACTTGTTACAGTGTTTGTCATGGTAATAAGTAGATACAGACAATAACAATCAATACTGTTATATAAATAAATATATTGGATTTATGCAAATAATTGAGTATTCTACATGCATCCTCAGGACTGTTTACCGCATTGTAGACGTTCAAATTACTCAAATATGTAATCAGAGACCAACAGTGTATTGATATTTCATGTCTATCCAGCAATCTCTTGGCGTCAATCTTGGAATTTTTTGCTACTATTGGGCAATGGTGACAGAGTTTCTTTTCTAAAAGTGTAAACTATACTTCAGTGAGTTTGTGCGCAAAGTAATAATTATGCATATAAGTCCTATCACACTGTTTTAGAGTTAACGATTCCACAGTCTAAACTCATAATAAAGAAACTTGACGGCCATCTTGAAATTGGCGGCTATCTTGATTTTTTTGTAGATTTATCAAAAGTCGGAAACGTTCAGGAATTGTGAACACCTTTTAGAAACACAATATAGCTATTTCGCAACACAACACATGCCTTTTTCATCAAAAGATTCAACCGCATCTGAAGCATGGAAGATATATTGATAATTGGTGGTCATATTGGATTATGCAAATTAGACATATTTCCAAAACTAGGATTGTTTGGGACTCTTAGTATGTTGTTCCTGGGACCTTGCAGAAATGCATCTTGGTGAAATAAATTCTGTTGCAATTTGTTCCAAGTAAATCCTTATTTTGCCATGGGAATCAATGCACGCCCCAACTCGACGACAGGCAGAAATATGAGACATCTGATCACAAGAAATGG